GATATTTTTTAATTTCGGAATGCATTCTAATAAAGTTTTTTTTCGACTTTTAACGACAAATCTGCAACAATTATGCATTTTATGAATGAATAAAAATCGAATACAGAATAGAAGAAGGGAAAAAGAAAGAAAGAAATTGATTAAAAAATTAATGAATGACAAAATAAAAAGACAAAAGAAGGAAAGAAAGAAAGGATAGAATTAAGAAGAATGGAAGAAAGGATAGAATGAAGAAGGATAGGATAAATAAAAAAGAAAGGAAGAAAGAATAGAATAAAGAAGGAAAGAAAGAAAGGATAGAATAAAGAAGGAAAGAAAGAAAGGATAGAATAAGGAAAGAAAGAACGGATAAATAAAAAATATAGGACGAAAGAATAGAATAAAGAAGGAAATAAAGAAGGAAAGAAAGAAAGGATAGAATAAAGAAAGAAAGGATAAATAAAAAAAGGAAGAAAGAATAGAATAAAGAAGGAAAGGCAGAGATGATGAAATAAAAAGATGGGAAGAATGGATAAAATAAAGAAGGAAAGAAAGATAGGATAGAATAAAGAAGGAAAGAAAGAAAAGATAAAATAAAGAAAGAAAGGATAGAATAAAGAAGGAAAGGAAGTAAGAACAGAATGAAGAAGGAAAGGTAGAGAGGGTGGAGTAAAGAAGGAAAGGAATAAGGATGGAATGAAGAAGGAAAGGAAGAGAGGACAGAATACAAAAGGAAGGGAAGTGAGGTTAAAATAAAGAAGGAAAGGTCGAGGGGATATAACAAAGAAGGAAAGTTCGAGAAGAAGGAAATGAAGAGAGGATAGAATGCAGAAGGAAAGGAATGTAGGATAGAATAAAGAAGGAAATGAAGAACGGATAGAATAAATATAGAAAGGACGAAAGGATTGAATAAAAAGAAAAGGAAGAGATGATAGAATGAAGAATGAAAGAAAGAAAGGAAGAAAGGATAGAATAAAGAAAGAAATGAAAAAATGATAGAATAAAGAATGAAATGAACAATGAAAGGAAGGGAAAGGAGAGAGGTAAAAGAAATTAAACAAAGAAGAAACATGATAAGTTTCAGTTAAAACATTTAAACACTGAAGCATCTATACTCTATTCCCAGTCTTATCAACATAAGTGGAGCAGGTGGTTTAATGCGTTATCCCCTTACCCCTCACTTCTCCCCTCTCTCTCTTTTACTTCAATCCCAATCCCCCATACCCTCTCCCATCCCTCCCTTCCTTTACTTTAATCCGATATACCAATACCCTCTCTAATCCCTCAAACCTACCATCGCATTCTCTCCTCTACTCTTCCATTTATTCATAGTAATCCTCCCAAAGTTCTCTTTCTCATCCTCAATCAATTCTTTCCCTTATCCTTATATCCATACTCTTCTTAATCTCTCCTATATCGGACACAAAATTATTTTTTCCGTCTTCTTTCTTGATTTTCTCTTTACTGCAGGCACCTTTCTTCACATCATTTTGTTTACTTTTTATCTTACTCCCACTCCTCCCCTTCCCATTCTCTCACTAGAAAGGTTTTAGCTTTTCCTCCTCCAAATGTTATCCTTTTATCCCCCTTTCCCCCTTCCACCACGACCTATTACCATTCCTCCTTAAATGTATGCTTTGAAAGTTATTGCATATATAAGGAATTAATTGAGTTCTTAGCACACACTCTGATACTACTTTCTTCTGACCTTTCTTTACACTTTTTGTAATATAATAAAGCTGTTTTCTCATATAAATATAAATACAAACATATGTGTTTGTGGTTAGCCTATAGCTGGCCGAACTGCTGAACCAAATTAGCTGACATTCTATTAGTAAACCCATGTATTCACTGGGGGGACATAGGCTAAACGAATTATGAAAGAATTTGAAAAATCATGATTTTATGCCAAGCGCGGGTAAACGGCGGGAGCATCTACAGCTGTGAATGATAATATAAACCTCGCAGCGCGCGCCGGGTGCTCCAGGTAGTTTTTGATAAAACTTTTTTTTATCAGTCCTTCACGAAGAATGTGGACACAATCCCTTTCTCTCCTCGCCATATTAACACATATTGATTAAGATAAAGTGGTTTTCATTGATGGGTACGAACAAACTATTAGAATACTAAATTTTAAAACAAAATTATATGAAATAATATGAAACGACGTAATATTCACTGTTATTTAACCTACAACTATATTTTTAGTACAGTTACTTTACCGTATTTAATTATTGCACATTTGTATCTTTCAAAACTCTTATATATTAATTTGCATGCACTTTTATAAAATGTCATGGGAGTTTGCGTCGAATACAAAACGGTCCAATTCAGCAAAATTTAAAGCATAATAAAATTCATCTGTGCCATAGAAATAATAATTTCTTGTGAATCCTTAAAATATTATTCCCACTCAATATAATATATATCCGATGATAAAAGATGTGTCTGAACTCTGGAAGTTTTTGGAAAAAATCAACAACCAACTGATTCAAAAACATTATTTAAAATGATAAAATTAATGGAACCAAGAAGAAGATTAATAATAAAGAGGGAAGTTAGTTTAAGAATGAGAAAAAGAACAAAAATGCATGGTAAAAGATGAATTTTTTTGCCACAAACTAAAATTTTCCAAATCGTATATGTTTGGCACCGACCTGATGGTCGTACCCTTTGAAATTTCAAACCTAAACTGTTTGATCTCTCTGAGGTCTGCAACAGTTGTTGCACAGATATTGAAAAATTCGAGTTTGCGGCAAAGAAAGAGATGATAAAAACTCAGTTCCTCTATGATGAAAAAAGGATCGTAAAAAAATGCTATAAGTAAGAATAAAGGTAACTAAGAAGGATAAAATTAGAAGAACATGGTTTCAAGAAGCAGTTGTAAACGAAAAGAGAAAAGTAGAAAATATATATATTATATATATATATATATATATATATTCTACGATTAACGTTAAATAATGACAAAATTAACGATAGAAGAATGTTAAAAAAAAATTAGACAATAAAAGATGTTAAACCGGCTGAAACTAGTAAAATAAATTTAAAACAATTAACACATAATAGTATATTTGTGTAGTACGTGACAAAGTTACACAAATAAAAATACAGTTTTTTGTTTAATATACATTTTTATAAATTCACCTTGACAACATGAGATCAGACTATTGAGCTTCAATGCCAAGTCAGTCTGGGAACATTTATTGAGTTTTTATCACAAACTCAAATCCTTAATCCCTTTATCTTTGCAACCTGATGGAGTAAACTTTTGATATTTCTAACTTAGACTATTTGTTAAACATTAATATTCTACGATATCGGGTTGTAAATTTAGAGGGATTAGAAAATCAGAGTTTGTGGTAAAAACTCAATTCCTTTAGGTTTCAATTAAAGTTAAATCTTTTTACAGGTAAAATGTTGTTCGCAAAAATATCAAAAATGTGGATCGAAGAGTTTTTTTCTGAAAAATCTTTTTCTGAAACAAATTGCTTTGGCAAACATTTTTCATTCCTATTGTTAAAATTGTTTAACAAAAATATGTCTAGAATAGAATTGAGTATTTGGCACAAACTCTGATTTTCTAATACCTATATCTTTGCAACCCAATGTGGTAGACCTTAAATATTTCAAACTATGAGCTCGTTGGATCAAATAATCTAAGTTGGGCAAATTAAAGGTTACATCATCAGTTTGCAAAGATATAGAGATAAGACAAATTCAGTTTGTGGCAAGGACTCAATTCTTTCACAATTTAACTATATTTAATCAAACACGCAAATTTTCTACAAAATATTGCACTTAATCCTTAGTGTGGCCGTGGAACATCCGTCTTTTTTTTTTTCTTTTTTTTTGGAGGCTTTACAAAATCTGTTCAAAACTGTCTGATCTAAAAGTTTGCTTCTATTACTTTATGAACAATATTGACAATTTGAAAACTATGATATAAACAAACTTGAAGATGGACTTTGCGGATAAGTCTGAAGCCTACTAAAAGCCATTAAACTGCATGTTTAAAAATGGATTGAAAAGACGATGAATATTCCTATTTTTTGGAAACCCTACTTTCACAAAAGTTTAATATAAATTTAAATATTAATATTTGAAACTCAACCGATCTACATTACATTAATTAAACCAGAAATACTGGGACAGTGATATTTTAAAATATGATACTTAGACAAATTTAACTTTCATGAAAGAAAAATAGCCTTTTTCAGTTTGATGCTTCGTTGCTATAATCTCTCTGACTGTTGAGAGATATTGACTAGAAAGAAGATGAAAAATAATATTTCCAATTCACGTAAATAAAATCTTTGCTAAATTTGTCGATTCTCCGATCTTCAAATATCAATTTGGTATTGAATTCACAGTGCAGAGGATTTAGATAATTCCTCGAATGCCCTTAATAGTTATTACAATACTTTACTTGAGATCTATTCCTCCAAATCCCGGAATGGTAGGAAATGAACCGTGCTGACTTTATGTAATACCACTAACGATATGTGTACTATAGCAGACAAAGTCAATTATATTTTGGGTTCAAATTTTAATAGGATTATAGTTTTAATCTTAAGTGACCCTCTTTGTCCGATTCACAACCGTAATTGTAATTGCAATTGAATATAATTAATTTTCGAATCTAAAAACATGGATATCACATTACTCAAAGCTATACGGGGTATCGCTGTGAATCAGACATGGCTTTATAAAAGCGGGGTTAGCTTATTCACTATACGGTCCCGTAGGGTTAATTAATATGTTCACTTTACAGTCCCGTAGGGTTAATTAATATATTCACTTTACAGTCCAGTTAACTACTATAGGAGTGTAGGGTTCATGTGGTTTTAAGGATTCTGTCCTTATCCTATAGAACTGTGGCTTTCAATCACAATTTGGTTTATTAAACGTATAATTTTCCTTTTTTCCCTATTTTACTTTTTTGTCGGTATACGCGCTTTAAACGAAAAATTAAAAAGTGACAAAATCTTAAGTTTAAATATTGTTGGATTATATACCAACACGTGATTGAATTCAAATAGAAGAAACCGAATGCATCTCGCCCTGGTTAGTCCGGGTTGGGTTTATTAATATATTCACTTGAACGGGTTGAGAGTAAGTGTTTAGCTAGCTATCTGAGTGAAGATTAAGTGTGTCAGATATTTATTGGTTCACTCATTACAACATCAGGCACGTTCCCCATAGTAATTGCCACATGATAGGGCGGCGGAGAGTCATACGGCGGTGGCGGGGACTCGCCTTTTTTATAGCTCTGCATCCTTGCCAATACTCCCGCCATACCCTGTACACCCGCCCCCACTCCTCTGACACGCCCCCTGGTCTCCCTACAGGAATCTATAACGTAAATAGTCTCAATGGATGTGTTTGAGGGCGTGTCCCGATCCATGCACTGTCTAGTCAGGGATCTACAGTAGAAAACAAGAAGGAGATGATAGGCCCTGAAATATAGAGATTTATCAGTTCAATTACTAACCTAGAGAAAGGATCATTAGGGGAATAGGTTCCGTTGTATCCTAGTGCTTCTAGGAGGCTACAAATGATCATAGAAAAGTAATTGTTCAAGATGCTCCAAACATTCAAGCCATGGATTATATGATAATTATATGATACAAGTGGAAACCCAGCATTTTCTGGAAATATATATAAGTCGACCAACTCAACTAATAATCATAAAACCAAGATAAGAAAATTCTCAAGGTTCTACACCGAGTTCTCCCGCCGAAAGAAGTGACAAATATGACAAGGGGTTCATGATCGGACACACAAGCAGACAAACAGAGATTACTTATTTTATATTAATTAGCTTGGAAATCTGATTTACCTGTAAACTAAACCTTTGATATAAAAGTCAGTCAATTCAACTCAGAATTATATATTTTTTTTTTTTTAACATCTTAGTGAACTAAGAGATCACGAGTTTGATAAAAGCAAAGAAAATTAGTCCTTGTTATAAAAACACAAATTTTATAACTCCTATATATTTGCAGCCTGATGGCATTTTACTTTAGATTTGGCATGGTTATATACGTATAGTTAGAGAAGCAATCGAGATTAAGTGTTTAAGATTAACGATACTCTACAGAAAAGTTCCAGGGTCTGGATTAAGAAATAATAAACAACTACATTCTAGATGATTTCTTGTCATTATTGTGTAATTCTAAATTAAATATTTAAATGTTTTTTTTTTCTAAAAAATGAAGACAGCTAAAGAGAAGTACAAAAATACAAAAGAAAAGAATGAATTCTCTTATTGACAGAAACTCTGAATCTAGAATATTTCTAAAATATTTGAGAGAAAAGGCTCTATTTCACGGTGAACTAGAGTTTAATCAGTTTTAGTTGAAATGTCAACACGGTTCAAAATATATGTCCGGTTCTAAGCTTACAGTGTTCTAGAATATGAAAATTCTGACACACAAATCTGTCAGGATATTTCAAATGCAAAGATGGCATCAGTGCCCTTCAAAGCTTTGTCTGATCAAGTATGAATTAGATATCACTGTTTTTAAGAGTCCCTTGAAACCNATGTTCCTGTTTAATTGTGTATAATTAGATATTCCTGTTTAATTGTGTAATTCAAACTTGATTATCATGCTGCAGGTTCTTTTACGACGAAAATATATGAAAAATTGCCATCTTTGCATGAAAGGTCCCTTGAAATTAAGCTTACAGTCCCTTTAACCCTTCAAATTATGATCCGAAAAAAAACACTTTAAATTTTTAGGACTTTCTTATCCAAGGCTATACAAAGCATGAAGGTCGGTCAGATCAAACAAAGAGCAAAGTGATGGCGATATTTTAAGCTGACCCGGTCTCAAAAGTTGATTTGCATAGTATGTTTGGATAGCCGTTGCATGATGTTGGGAGCAATCTTTTTTTGAACTGGAATTTGTCTTTAATGTTAAAACGAGAAGTATAAGGCCCTGGGTCGACTAGTTACCGACTATGATAAAGAAATTCGATTTTTTAAGTGAGTTTTGTGTGATATATGTTGACGATTTGTTGGAATTCAGTTAGGTTTGTTATCTGCAGAGAAACCTGAACCCTGTTCTCCCTTGTGTAGACAAGGGTACACAGAGCAGTCCTCTTATCAATCCTGGAAAACCAAATTGGGAGTTGAAACCTGACTCCGGGTCCTGTAACAGGGTGGGGGGTAAAATGTTGACATGTGTCATATATTTGAGCTTATCAAACATGTAATATATACCACACTGCACTCTGTAATATACAAACCATGCGCTCCAAAATGTATATTTCTTCACAAAAACCAAAATTATTTAAACTAAAATATGTGTGCGTTTTAAGAAGTATGCAACGCACATTGCACTGCACATTGCACTGCACATTGCATTGCACAATGCACTGCACATTGCATTGCACAATGCACTGCACATTGCATTGCACAATGCACTGCACATTGCACTTTAAAAACAAGTTTTGATCTTCATAATAATAAGCTTTTTATAATTATAGTATCCACCACTTACGCTATTTATATTATTAGTTCTTAAGATGTTTAACTCGAAAAAATATTTTCAAAATGTGATTTTTTGTAACTTTCAATTGAAAAATATAAAAGATGATTGAATTGACTGCAGGGAAAACAAGTTTACTAGTTCCATGCTTTGTTGCGAACTATAAAATCCTCGTCTCAAAATTCTTATGTTTGTTGCGACCCCCTGTATCCAGTCAGTTTTAAGACTAAACATATAGGGTTTCATATTTAAATCTTGTCAAAATATAGAAGATGGGGGTCTCATGAGAGATTATTTAAATCTAGCAAATATGTCCCCCAGACAGGGAGGATATATAAGGGTTATACATGAACGATACAGAACTAGCAGCAGCGGTATAAGGGTTCCAAATATGAGTAGAACTTAAAGGGGGGGGGGGAATTGTCTTATAAAATTCAACAGAAAGCTCAGAAAGTTTCATGGTGCAATAAAATTTGTCTGTGATACTGATTTGTTTAATTTTTCAAAAAAACATATTTTTACGGCATTCCTCAAATATATAATGTTTATCTAAAATTAATTTTCTAAGTTTGGAATTTTTAAATAAAAATTTTATTTAAGCAAGGGAAAAAACCACACAAATGCATTACTTAGTACAGTGGCAGGCGATTATATCAATACGATAAAGACGACTTCTTTATTTAAGTTTTGATTGATTACAAGTTTTTTTCAAACAATCAAATAGACAGCTTCTCTTTGTTTCCATGTTTACGTGTATCCATGGTATTAAAAGCTTGATATTAATTAAAATTGAAATCGACATTGTATTGATATATGCGACAACGACTGTATTAAAAGGTTAAGAACCTTTTCTGCTGAAGTTATAGAAAAGATAAACAAAGAAAGAAATTTAGCAAAGAGAGATTTTTAAAACGGGAAATTTTCCTCGTGAACCATTCATTTATTGCACTGCATTAATTCAATATCAACATAAAGAAAATATTTTTAAAATGGGGAATTACAGGTTAGACTTTGCAACCTTCTATCTTCTTCAATTTTTCTCTTAACATAAAAGAAGGAGAATAATCTAAATTTTTATGTAAATAATGATTATATTAATTTTACAGAAAAAAAAGAATCACTATAGCTTGAGAACCCAGCTTTGCTTAGAAACCAAAATATCTCTATTAGAGTCAACTCATTCAACTTAGAGCTTTAAAACAGTGGTTATACCGAGTTTTCCAATCAAAATTTAAGGCAAATGGTCAAGTTATTCATGATTTATGATCGGACATACACACAAACAAACCAACCAACAAACAAACAAATAGAGATTACTACTTTAAATATAAATATATAGAAGATACAAGATTAAATTACATCTAGCTATCTGTCTATCCATCTGTATATCTATCTGCATGTCAGTAAAAATTAAAATGGCAAAAATATTTTAAAAATGAAGAATTTGCGATTTTACCAATCTGTAAGAAACCCCTTTGTTACTTGGTAGTTCTTGTTGATTCCTATATACGATATTCTGTAAGTTTGCAGTACGTTGTACATTATTAATAATCGATGTTTGTACGTAAAAAAAAACCATTTATTCATTTGAACTGCGTTCTGAATGAATATTTATCATGATTAGCTTAATCATGTGATATATAGTGAGGTATATCTTAAATTACGACTATTTCTAACTATGCTGTAATGCGTAACATGTTTTGCTTTATCATGTGACCTGTTTGAGATATTGATCAATTGATTGATAGTGTCCGTATTGACACCGATAGCTAACAAGATTGCGCCCAGTTTAGTGGCGTTGATAGTTCATGGGATTGTAGCCATGTGGATCGTGTCCTGTTTGAGATATTGATCAATTGATTGATAGTGTCCGTATTGACACCGATAGCTAACAAGNATATAAATAATATATTCATCATCTGTAAATATATATTACATTATATTATTTCATTTTAATTGTATGCAAATATAAAAATTTCGAAGTAGACTCTTAAAGTTGTTTAAGAATAAAAAAGCAGAAGTTTCTAAAAATGTGTTTTTAAAGAGGAAGGAGAATTTAAAATAGAATTTAAACAAAAATAAAATTTTAAAGATTAAAAAACAGATTTTGTCTTTTTTATTGTTAAAAACAATTCAACTAAGAGATCTCAAATCTTTACAGTACAATCTTGAATGTACTGTAAATGTACTTCTCGAAGATAAAAAGGATGATTTAAAAAGAAGCTGCAGAAATTGACTATACTATATATATATATAAATACTTGGCTTTTAGGGCGCTTCGCGCCCATCTTTTATATAAATTTTTAATTGTGGCGTTATCTGTAAGCATCTTCTCACTGTTCAGTATAAATCAATATCAAAAAAAGTGTGCAGATTTCCTAATATTTTTTCGCGCATTTTCAAAATTTAACAAAAATAAAAAACCTTTAAAACACATATTTTTAAAATTTTGATCATTCATAAACCTTCCCTGGGGTCACGTGATATATTACACAAAATTTCGGCCCGATCGGTTCAGCCGTTTTGACGTTTATTGTATACAAACAAATAGACACACATACAAGTTAAAGGAAATGAGTCTTTGCCACAAACTCTGATCTTCTAATCCCTATATCTGTTGATGCCAACGTCGTAAACCTTTGACATTTCAAACTATGACTTTTGTTAGATCAAATAATATAAATGTGAAATATCAAAGATTTATGACATTGGGTTCCAAAGATATAGGGATTAAAAATTCAGAGTTTGTGACACAGACTCAATTCCTTTATATTTAGATATAAAGTAGTAATTTCTGTTTGTTTGTTTGCATATCCGATCATAGTTCAAGAATCCCTTGACCGATTTGCCTCAAATTTGGATTGGGGAACATCTTAGTTGAATGGGTTGAATCTTATAATGAAAACTTCAAAGCAATACTACATGACTATATGTATGTTTATATCGAAGTTTTAATTGAATCATATTCTATGAGAATAATTTAGATAAAAATAACCACAATTTTCTATAATAAACAATTTGAATATGGAAGCAGAAAAAAATAAAATTCTGCTTTGTTAAAAACTTATTTTATCTAAAAATTACTTTGGCACTATATAACATTTTTAGACTTGAATTTTCCCTTTTTTAATGGCTCGTGTAATGAGCGCGGTAATTTTTACCATCACAAATATATTCTGTGAATAATTCCTGAAAATTTTAGGTCCACAGCTCGTACATAATAGGATATAATTTTAGGTCCACAGCTCGTACATAATAGGATATAATTTTAGGTCCACAGCTCGTACATAATAGGATATAATCGCCGCTGAAGTTTCCAAAACTGCTTAAGCACGGGCAGCCGTAGTACATTTGAATTTCCATGCCGGGTCAATCTTTCCGGTCCCAGATTGTACTGTATCTCCCGGACATCGGGTACATGAAGCAGACACTCAATAGAACTAACCGTTGCAACAAGGTTGACACGCTCAGACTTTAGGTTGAGTTTACTTTTACTGAAGGGTCAGGGGTGCGTGTAAGAAGGTTAATCTATTTTTTTCCTGTAATTATCTTGTTTTGCATCAATTATTTTGTTTTTTATTATAAATTTAAGAAAATAAATATTTTCGAGCTAGTTCTTCAGATTTTGGCCTAAAATTTCAGATTAGTGCTCACGGTTCACATTGTAATGGGAAAAGGTACCGCACACAGCTATTTTCTAGAATTGGTCCTCCGTGGCCGGATACCGTATATTGTACAAGCTTTGTACCTGTACAGAATCCATATTGTGACTAGAACGCCTAAGCTTCCTCCAGCTGCAATCAAGAAGGTTAGATCAAACCTGAAATATCAATTAGAAAAAATCTGAGAAAATAAGAAAGAAGAAAAAAAAAGAAGAGAGGATTGGGGAGGAGGGAGGAGGATATTTCAAACGTTGACTACTTCAGCTAACATAATTAAAAATGAAATAGCAAAAGTCTAGAAAAATAGATTTTGTTGCGAAATAATTAGTTTCTTAACTAGAAGAGAATTAGGAAGTTGGCTTGAAGGAAACAGGAAATGAAAGAAAGAGGAAACTGGGGAAAACACGCGAAGACAACCAAAATAGAAGAAGATACAGGAGGTGAAGAAGTATAAGTAGGATTATACGTAAAAGGAGGAATAGGAAAAGAAAAAGTGTCGTTTATTAATTTTAGCTTATTTGTGAAAGTATCTTAAATAAAACATTGTATTTAACTATCTAGCTTAGAATAAAACATTGTATTTAACTATCATAGAATAAAACATTGTATTTAACTATCTAGCTTAGAATAAAACATTGTATAGAATAAAACATTGTATTTAACTATTTAGCTTAGAATAAAACATTGTATTTAACTATCATAGAATAAAACATTGTATTTAACTATCCAGCTTAGAATAAAACATTGTATTCAACTCTCTTAGAATAAAACATTGTATTTAACTATCTTAGAATAAAACATTGTATTTAACTATCTAGCTTAGAATAAAACATTGTATTTAGCTATCTAAAAATACAACTTTGTATTTAACTATCTAGCTTAGAATAAAACTTTGTATTTAATAAAACATTGTATTTAACTATCTAGCTTAGAATAAAACTTTGTATTTAACTATCTAAAAATACAACTTTGTATTTAACTATCTAGCTTAGAATAAAACTTTGTATTTAGCTATCTAAGAATACAACTTTGTATTTAACTAGCTTAGAATAAAACTTTGTATTTAACTAGCTTAGAATAAAACATTGTATTTAACTAGCTCAGAATAAAACATTGTATTTAACTAGCTTAGAATAAAACATTGTATTTAACTATCTTAGAAAAAACTTTGTATTTAACTATCTTAGAATAAAACATTGTATTTAACTATCTAGCTTAGGATAAAACGTTGTATTTAACTATCTAGCTTAGAATAAAACATTGTATTTAACTATCTAGCTTAGAATAAAACTTTATATTTAACTATCTAGCTTAGAATAAAACTTTGTATTTAACTATCTTAGAATAAAACTTTGTATTTAACTATCTTAGAATAAAACTTGGTATTTAACTGTCTAGCTTAGAATAAAACATTGTATTTAACTATCTTAGAATAAAACATTGTATTTAACTATCAGCTTAGAATAAAACATTGTATTTAGCTATCTAAGAATAAAACTTTGTATTTAACTATCTTAGAATAAAAATTAAAATTTAACTATCTAGCTTAGAATAAGACTTTGTATTTAACTATCTTAGAAAAAAAACATTGTATTTAACTATCTAGCTTAGAATAAAACTTTGTATTTAACTAGCTTAGAATAAAAAATTGTATTTAACTAGCTTAGAAAAAACTTTGTATTTAACTATCTTAGAATAAAACTTTGTATTTAACTATCTTAGAATAAAACATTGTATTTGACTATCTAGCTTTGAATAAAACATTGTATTTAACTATCTAGCTTAGAATAAAACATTGTATTTAACTATCTAGCTTAGAATAAAACATTGTATTTAACTATCTAGCTTAGAATAAAACTTTGTATTTAACTATCTAGCTTAGAATAAAACTTTGTATTCAACTATCTTAGAATAAAACTTTGTATTCAACTATTTTAGAATAAAACATTGTATTTAACTAGCTTAGAATAAAACATTGTATTTAACTATCTTAGAATAAAACATTGTATTTAACTATCTTAGAATAAAACAATCTATTTACCTATCTTAGAATAAAACAATGTATTTAACTTTCTAGCTTAGAATAAAACATTGTATTTACCTATCTTAGAATAAAACATTGTATTTAACTATCTTAGAATTAAACATTGTATTTTTCTATCTTAGAATAAAACATTGTATTTAATAACTCAGAATAAAACCTTTTATTTAACTATTTTAAAATCTTAGGTTGGATACAAATATTTTAAGATGCATCCAAGGTTGGATTTAACTGTTTTAAGATGTATCTAAGGTTGAATTTGACTATTGTAAGATGTATCTAAGGTTGAATATAACTATTGTAAGATGTATCTAAGGTTGAATATAACTATTTTAAGATGGATCTAAGGTTGAATATAACTATTGTAAGATGTATCTAAGGTTGAATATAACTATTTTAAGATGTATCTAAGGTTGAATATAACTATTGTAAGATGTATCTAAGGTTGAATATAACTATTTTAAGATGGATCTAAGGTTGAATATAACTATTTTAAGACGTATCTAAGGTTGAATATAACTATTTTAAGATGAAACGTTGAATAATGAATCAGAATTTACATTATCCTCTTTCAGTTTTAAAACCTTTAATAATCCCCTGAAGCAATCTAATAAATTTCAAACTTGACCTCACTTCAATGTATTTCTAACCCTATTTAGTTTGCATAATTGTAGCTCACACATCCCCCCCCCCCGCCAACCATCTTTAACCAACATTCCTTCTATCTGGACACAATATGGCTTTCTAACCAAGAACTATGATAAAACTCAAGTTTCTCATGAAATCTGTTCCGGCCTCAGATTTCAAATTCTTGTTTTTTCAAGACTACAATTTCACAGATAATTAGGGAATATATTTTTCAACCAATGGTATTGACATTTTTCTTGCGTCATTTCTTTTCTTCTTTCTTTTATATGAATTTTTCAATATTTGAAAATCAGAGTAATGTCAAAACTAATCTTCAAAATGACTGTAAGTAAGCAATGAAAGCAATTTCATGAAGTGGTAGTTGGTACGTTCAATTCATAACGGTACCCTTTAAATCTTTTCTTGGGTCAAGAATGAACAAGACATCCTTTTTTTAGCTAAAAATTGATTGTTTTCATTTGTGGGTTCTCTATAAAAGTTATAGCTTACTTATAAGCAGAGACATTTAACGAACTTTTCAGAATTTAACACCTTTGAAAATAAAATAAAAACATTGATGACTTCATCATTGCTACTCAAAAAACAGGATTAAGGTACAGTTGTGAATTGGACATGAGACCCTAAAATGAAGGGTTACTTCAAATTACTCCCTCAGCCCTTTGAAAGTTTTCAAATTTTACAAAAATCATGTTATTTGCCTTTAAAAAAGATGAATTATTTTAAACCTATAATTGCGTTGAGATTTGCTTCTCAAGTGGTTTAGACAGATGGAAAGGAAGATTCCTAAAAATTTTCACCAATTTCATAGATCATCATTTTCAAGTTAGTTGATGGCTGAATTGAAGGGTTAAAATTGTGCAAAACTAAACTTACTTTGGTGTATAGATATGCTCGTGATTTGAACAATCTGCTAGATTCTGTTCAACACGTCCCAACTCCTCCCCCTCCAAACTTATACTGGTATAGTTCCAGAAGGGTAGATCATGCCCCTGCTCCAGGTTCTCCTGAAGCTCTACTATTGCCACCTCGCCCTCCATCCTTGGACAGTTCAACCTTCTACCCGGAACAGGATTAGGAATTACTCCAGACTAACTCAAGGATTGAAACTTGTCTCCGAAACTAGAAACTGTCCTAGCATTGTATATATTCTAGTTCAGATTAGTAATTCACTGATTAGCATAACATTTATTATTAATTGAATCACCCCTCTAATGCACTGCGTCGTAGCCTGAAACAATATTCAATATATGATGATAACTACAACTTTTGCATTTCCCATCTGACAAATTCCCAAACGACATTTTCTCAAATATGTATTTGCCGACAGATTGAATCCCAATCGCCAGTAATTGCTAAAACAGAAAAGATGTCGGACATTTTTAATAGTATTTGGGCACCTCACTTGGAATATTGTACATTTCGGTAACGTTCTATTTGGGATATTGTTTATTTGATAACGTTCTACCTGGGATATTGTACATTTGATAACGTTCTACTTGGGATATTGTACATTTGATAACGTTCTATTTGGAATATTGTACATTTGATAACGTTCTACTTGGGATATTGTACATTTGATAACGTTCTATTTGGAATATTGTACATTTGATAAGGTTCTACTTGGGATATTGTACATTTGATAACGTTCTACTTGGGATATTGTACATTTGGGGACGTGCTATTTACACTTGGGAACATCCCACTCGGTAACTGTGTACATTGTTGGTAACGTATACCAGTACCACTTTGGAAATCGTGCATTTGGGGACGTGTCACTTTGGAAATTGTCTTTGTAAAATTATCACTTATTAAAATGTCCTTTGAAAAAAATTAACATATTGCATATATATTAAACTTTCTGCCCTATATCTTTTAACACTGACAATTTTAATGAGTATTTTCAGCCCACAATTTGCAAATATTTCAAAAGATTGCGCATTATTTAACTTTTTAGATTTGATCATATTTGCATCATTTCTAACTAGTTCATCGATTAACAGGTGCAAAGTGCTAATTAATGAGCTACACAATGTATCTCATATGGTCCCCATTAAAATTAATTAATATAGTAAATAGTTAATACAAAAAAAAGAGATGATTTATTTTAAGATAACATTTTATTTCTATAATGCGTTACGTGTAAATTTTGGTAGATGATAAAATGAATTAAAAAATTTAATTTGTATTTGAAAACCTGATTTGATCTCCTGGCAATCCCAATGTTGCATGAAGATTAGAAATTAAATAATCTATGGTGCTTCCCACCCAACACAATTTGATCATTTTCCTCGGTTTAACAAACATTGTAAATAAAGATTTAAAATATAAAATCCAATATTTGACAAATAGAATTTAAACATTTCAAACAAAGAAATATGTGGCAAATAATTTAATTGAGGCCCAAATACAACCCTCTGATGAAAATCAGCATTGTAAAAAGAAAAGTAGGGTTCATACGGGAAAACATATTTAGGGGGAGAAATATTTTTTTAAGCTCCCCCACTCCCCAAACAATCATTCCTTTAATCCCTCTTTACTTGGTACAAACGGTATTTAAATACATCTAAATTACATATATATAAATACATATTTATAATAATAATATACCTGCTGAAAAAATATTTAACTAGATTTCTTCTTTATCGATGAACAGACGCCTGTTACAGAGCTACGCAACTGCGCGTCCTCTCACCTCGGCTTACAGATTACAACTGAGCGGAAGAAGAAATGATTTGAGAAAGCAGCAGCTGTTCCCAGTTCTGTTGACTGGACCCATATAAAGGCACACGGACCGGGAAATGCGCGAAACTGCAGTGTAAAGGAAGTACATATACGTAAGATATAATCTTGTATTTTCAGTTGGTGAAATATATAAATGTGTCAAATGTACATGCTCTCTTTTGATAATTGTTGCAAACTTCTGAATTTTGTAATTCTATACACCGTGTAATCCAATATAGAATATAGAATATATATATTTACTAGCTGTACAGAGTGTTCCACAAAATATGTGAAAACCAGAAACACAATATAATTTCGTCGGCTTCTTTTTATAAATATCTAAAAATTCTGAAATTTTAAACTGAACATATTTCCCAAAAAAGTGCCATTAACATTTTAGAGACATATACTGCAGTTGCAAAATTGGAAATCACAAAAGCGACACATGGCTGAAATTAATGGAAGAACTAAGACGACATTAATTCCACAGTTTTCTGGTTCTCACTGTATTTGAAACATGACTTTATTGTAATATTGTTCGCAAATTAATGAATTGCAGAATGGGTCTCACCACAAATCACTCGCTTTTTAATAAATTGCTTTCAATATTTAAAACAGTCGCAGATTCACATGAGGACCCCTTCCCTCTCCCCACTCCCTCCCTCTCCTCACCATCCCTCCCTTCTCAATCTCCCTCCCTCTCCTCGCCATCCCTCCCTCTCCTCACCATCCCTCCCCTCTCCTCGCCATCCCTCCCTTCTCAGACTCCCTCCCTCTCCTGGCCATCCCTCCCTCTCCTCCCTTCTTAGAATATATACCCCACCTCGCCCTTACACATCAATAGGACTCATTCAACATAATACATAAAAATATTTAAAAATCAATAAATCCATAGATTATGGACGGTAGTAAACTCAAACACAGATTGATTTCATGTTGGGGTTGCAAGGGGGGGGAGGGTTGCAAGGGTGGGAGGGCCGAGGGGGGAGGGGTAAAAGATGATTTAAACTAATCCATCGTATCAATTTTATATTACTCCCAGAAATTAATAAAGACTTTTTTTGTAAACAAAGGAATGGATTAATCGTCAATTTTTTTAAAATTCTTATATCTTTGCAACATGACGGTGTAAAATATAAAAGGTCTAGCATCTGGTTTCAACACGCTTAAAGCTATAGATTAGAAAATTATAGTAATTGTGGCAAGTAACCAATTCCTCTATGTTTAAGAGGATTCCTGGTTTAACTTTCTTGGGAGGAAATAAAGAAAAACAGGTAAAAGTTCAGATTTTTTAATTATTATGAAGAAGTGGTTGAACTAGGCTGACCTAGGTTGATCTAGGTTGAACTAGGTTGAACTAGGTTGTACTTGGTTGAACTAGGTGCGGCATGAAGCTACTTATCCTGGCTGGTTCAATTATAAATTTCATTACATTTTCGCATCGGCGAAAAAATCCCCCCCCCCCCTATATAAAAGTACCTTATTACGCCTTGGGGTGGGGGGGGGGGCAGAAGTTGTTATTTAAGAAATTGATATGAGGGTTACAGGGGCGAATGAATTAGGAGGTCACTGGCCAAGGGGCTATAAAAGTAAAGATTTTGATTCCGTAAATGGCCTCAGTCCCATTGAAAAGTTAAAAAGGGGCACTATATATATAGTCATTAATCTGTAGGACACATTCCTGTATACGCCCCTGGAGGGTTCAATATGAGTTTGTGTGGGGGGAATAATTTCCTGTGATTTCAACTGAATCAATATCCATCCCAAGGGTTTAGAAAAATCGATCGGTTTACTCCAATACAACAAATTCTATGGTTTTGATTATCTACATTCCTTTCAAGATAAACAATAAACATCCATTTAATTCAGAGGCGCAACTAACGTATTTTTTTTGGGGGGGGAGGGGAGGAGAATTTTTCAATTATAGGAAAAATATGCCTGCAATGAGGCGCGAAAAATTTCATTTTATACCGAAAATTTATCAATCTATAAAATAACATTCCTATATATGTTCCCTATAGCCGGCCAAACGGCTGGACCGAATGGGCTTAAACTTTTTGAGGACACTAATGGGTAGCCTTTGGGTGACATGGGCTAAAAAATCGTTTTTTTCCACGGGCAACACCGGGCCCTTCAGCTAGTAAATAATAAAAAATAATTTTCAAAAACTCCCAAGATTTAGTTGTTTTACTAATGTGCAGTAAAAAATGCATCTTTGCATAAACTTTTTTAAAGTTGATTTGTAATCACATAATGATATGAGATGATTCAGATATTTAAATTCAAAATAAACAGATTTCTTTGTTGTGTACGCACTACGCACTGCGTAGTTCCATGGTGTTCTTGTTCCTTGTGTAAGACCGACATAGAAACCATTTACGCAATACTGGGATACAGTGAGAGCTATGAGTGTCATAATTACGCACTTCATAATCACAAAAGGCTTTGTAATGTTTATATATTTTCTATCAGTATTACTTCCACAGCGTAAATGAATTTATATATACATGGGGGAGGGATTTGAATTTAAAGGAAGAATGTTTACAACTTTTTAGTTACATAGTTTTAAATAGTGGCTAGTATGAGATGCACGATAATGACACCACACCCCCCACCCCACCCAACCCTTCTTCATATTCATCATTTCCTGCACTTATAAACTTCTTTATTTAACCTTTAGGTACTTTCCCAAAGGATTTTTCCCAAGTGGCAACTTCCCAAGGGTTTTTTCCCAATGACAACTTCCCAAATGTGTAATTTCCCAAGCGGCAACTTCCCAATTCTGTCCTAGCCGTAGCAATAGGCCCCCAGCCTGTTCTATCTGCGGCGATCGGCCCCCAAGTCCATCCTAGCTGCAGCCCTTGGCCCCCATTGCAGCCTGCGGCGCCTCGGCGGGCCTAATCTAACCTTTGGGAAGTTGCCGTTTTGGAAATTGCATGTTTGGGAAGTTGCCATTTGGGGAATCATCACTTGGGAAGTCTCCCTTGGGAATATGCCTTTGTGACCTAACACGAATATGAATATGACTAAGAACCATGAATTCTGGACTCCAAAATTGTATTTCCTAGATCTGAGACATCACACACATAAATAAAGGAGTTAAAGAGCAGCTGCAAACAAGGATGGTCTAATAAGTTCTACTCTCCTTTCACTCCCTTTATAACCAAACCGGTTTAAACTAGAATACAAGGAGTGCTGGATTAGACAGAAAATGTAAATTAAAAAATATAGATTAAAGGGACTGTGCGTAATTTCAAATAACCCTCAATGCAAAGATAAAAATGTCCGATTCACAACGGTTCCCTCGACACCTATATTTCATCAATATTGTGGGAGATATTTCGCTTTTCTAGGTTTAAAAGTGTTTGATTCTGATAATTTCTATAGGTTTTCCTGCAGTAGAAATGCCCATTTTTTATAGAGAAATCATTTTTTATAGTTATAAACATTGATATATAATTCCAACTTGATCACTAGAAATTATGCTTACAGTCCCTTTGAGAGAAAAACAAAATGAGATATGGGATACGGAGAATATTATAAGATGAAGAGCAGATTTTACATTAAAAACTCGTAAAAGATGGATAGATATAAACATCTTACGGAAAGTATAAAAGATGGATAGACATAAACATCTTACGGAAAGTATAAAAGATGGATAGACATAAACATCTTACGGAAAGTATAAAAGATGGATAGACATAAACATCTTACGGAATGTATAAATGAAGGATGGACAAAAGTAAAAACAGATAAAGTTCATAGAAGAGATTAAAAGAACTCTCAAAAATGTTTATAGCACCATTTTCGGTGCTGAAACCTTGAGAAATACATATTTTCAAATTAAAACTTAAACTTTTTATTTATAATCTTTGGATTTTATTATCACATTTTTTCAGGTACATTAATTTATACATATATGAATATACAGATAGATAAAATAAAAATTTACATTTTCAAATATAAATTCATCATACTTAGAAGTTGAAACTTGCAACTAATTTTAATTATAAGAAGATAGCTTTTTCCTTGTATTTTGAGAATTTATCCTGTTATTAATACGACAAACAAAGAGTAAAAAATATGACAAATACTTCATTGAACATGTGATAAGTATTGCACATTAATTGATTAAATAATGAATATCTGAATTTCTTGAGACTCATAATCTTTTAATTAAAGAAATTGAGTCTTTTTCACAAACTATGATTTTCTATAATCCCTTTATCTTTGCCATCTAATGTCGTAGATTTCAGATATTTCAAACTCTGAAATATCAAAGATTTACACCATAGCTGGTTGTCAAGACATAGAGCTTAGAAAATTTGAGCTGTGGTAAAGAATCTAAATGAAAGTTCTTCATGTAATTACAAATAAGATTATAAATAAAAGCATAAAACTTAAAATATTTGAGAAAAAACATTATATTGTGCACACATATGTTTACATGAGTGGAAATAATAAAATAATGCCTTATACATTAAACGTATGATATCTGATATCCCAGATTAATACCTGATATCCCAGGTTAATATGTGTCATCCCAGATTAATATCTGATATCCCAGGTTAATATCTTATATCCCAGGAAATATCTGATATCTCAGTTTAATATCTTATATCCCAGGTAATATCTGATATCTCAGGTTAATATCTGATATCCCAGGTTAATATCTGATATCCCAGGTTAATATCTGATATCCCAGGTTAATATCTGATATCTCAGGTTAATATCCTGTATCCCAGGTTAATATCTGATATCCCAGGTTAATATCTGATATCCCAGGTTAATATCTGTAATCTCAGGTTAATATCTGGTATCCCAGGTTAATATCTGATATCCCAGGTTAATATCTTATATCTCAGGTTCATATCTGATATCCCAGGTTAATATCTGATATCTCAGGTTAATATCTGATATCCCAGGTTAATATCTGATATCCCAGGTTAATATCTAATATCCCAGGTTAATATCTGATATCCCAGGTTAATATCTAATATCTTAGGTTAATATCTGATATCCCAAGGATGTTCAAGAGTCTCTGACCGTAGACCACTCAACTCCCCGACCCGTCCTAAAGTAAAATGCTCTTAAGGGAGTGTTCACCTAACTCAAAACACTATTAAAACACCAATTTCTTCCCTGTTTTAGTCAGTAATTGTTTATTTATAAATTTTGACATCAAAAATTTTAAAATTAAGTGTTTGTGGAGTAAATATTTGAAAATCTTCAAAAATAGAGGTTGTGGGAATATTTCCCCCCCCTTCTTTAAAAAAGGAAATCAAATATTTATTGTTTACATTCATAAGCAATTGGTGGTGGATTTTCAGTTCTCTTTGACGATGAACTCACATTTTATTGAATAAAATTGTATATGTTTCCACTAGAATTGAAAAAATAATAAAATGAGATTTGGAACACAAGTCAAGCTTTTAACTCACAATTCACATGGAATAATGCTAAAGCCAAAAAGTATTATTTGTATTTTCCAGTAGGTATTCATTCAATCCCATTCACACATCCCATAGATGATAAAAAGGAAAAGTTTAAGAATCACCTAGTAAAGATTTTTTCCATTTTGATTCTCTCTGTTTGAGCTGGTTCAGCTGATTTTCTAAAGTTTGATGGTTTTGCTTTCTCAGGAGATTCTCATTCTGTCGTCTGAGCAGATCATTATCATCCTGATTAATCATCAACATTTTATCAGTAATTACAATTCATAATCATTCAAGCTTTGTTCATCATTGTTATCCATGATTTCATGATATGGGATCATAGATAAATAAATAAACATAGATAGCTAATGTACGCAAAATCACCAAGAATTGTACAGTCCGCGAACTCATACTTCTAGGGGTCAAAGAGTACTTCAATGATAAGCGGGGTGGTTTGGTGTTTTAATGGATTTCATAATAGAGTGTAAAATAACTCCGGGAATGGAACTATTTAAACAACAATATTTCACTATCATATTGACGAGAACTGAAGAAGGACATGAGAAGGACTAAACTAACTTAAATTTCTCGCAACAGAACTCATGTACACCACAAGTACTCAATGACATAAGAACAGCCAATGTTCACAACCGACCTAGGTAATCTATATTATAGGAATATCTTTAAAACATCTCTGTACATTTATATCTTTCAAGATGAAAAATGTCGTCTTATGCGCAATCTATCTTTATCTACAGGGTGTCCCACGAAACATGACAGTATTCAGGACGACTTAAATGTCGTCTTGATTTTTGATATAATTTGTTGTGTTTATTTGTCAACCTAATTTTAGAAGTAAATTTCTAGAGATAATAGTCACAAAATTTCCCTTGTCCTGCCATTTCCAAAATGTGGTCTGCCTTTTTTGTGCTTTCAATATTGCCCGAGATATGAAGAATTTCGTTCAGATTTCGACAATTTTGCTTTTATTTAACAAAATTGAAATCTGAACCAAACTCTTTATATCTCCGGTAATATTGAAAGCACAAAAAACGCAGACCACTTTTTGGAAATGCCAGGGCTAGGAGAATTATGTGATAATTGTTTCAAGAATCCTACATGTTAAAGTAGATAGAAGACTAAATGTCACAAATAAATTCAAATATCAAAGACGACTTTCAAGTCGTCTTCCTATTGTCATGTTTCGTGGGACACCCTGTATGTTGTTATCAGTAATTCCATTTGTGTTCATGATTTTCTGGATAATTAAAAATTTTAAGTTTTTCATATCTTCATATTTGTCGTTAAAATCAACAGTTTCTTAAAGATTTTCAAAGTTTTCATAATTTTTAAAATTTGGTGATGGTGATGGACCAAACCTCTGTAAACTAATAAAGTGGATGTTAGTTCCACATTTATTGAAAATATATAACCTTCAAAATCTATAAAAAAAAATTTTTTGTTAAATTTATAATCTTTATAATTTTCTTCCTCAGTTTCATAAGTGCCATTTTTATCTTTGTCGTTATCTTATCTGTACCATTTTTTAACTCTTCTAGTATCTTAAATTTCATATTATTTAGTTTTAAGAATATTTCAAATTTTAATATTTTTATTTATTAAATTGTGATAGGACTTATTGTAATTTATAAATTTGTAACTTATCAAAGATTTAGTAAGACTTATTGTAACATGGTAAAGTTTTGGTAGGACTTATTGTAAAATATTAAAGTATCGTTAGGTCTTACTGTAACATGTTAAAGTTTTGGTAAGAATTATTGTAACATTTGAAAGTTTTAGTAGGACTTATTGTAATATATTAAAATTTTGTTAGATCTTACTGTAACATATTAAAATTTTGGTAAAACTTTATGATAATAAAATATCAAATTTTTTGTAGGACTTTTTGTAACATATCAAAGTTTTGGTAGAACTTACTGTAACATTTTAAAGTTTTGATAGGAATTATTGTAGCATATTAAAGTTATGGTAGGAATTATTGTAGCATATCAAAGTTGTGGTGGGAATTATTGTAGCATATTAAAGTTGTGGTGGGAATTATTGTAGCGCATCAAAGTTGTGGTGGTAATTATTGTGAAACATTTAATTTTTGGTGGGAATTATTGTAGCATATCAAAGTTGTGGTGGGAATTATTGTAGCATATCAAAGTTGTGGTGGGAATTATTGTGGCATATCAAAGTTGTAGTGGGAATTATTGTAACATATTTAAGTTTTGGTGGGAATTATTGTAGCTTTTCAAAGCTATGGAAGGACTTATTGTAAGAGTTGTTAATTTCCTTGAGATCAATGATTTGATTGTCTTGATCTTCCAATCTCATCATCAGCTGATGGATCTTTCTCATGTACTCGGGATCATAACTCTGAAATAGTTCAGATCATCACATTATCGTATATTTAATCAAATGATGGGTGTCCCACTGTTCCAATACTCTATAAACTCAAGAAAGCTGTACACTGTACACTGTAAACTGTACACTGTACACTGTACAGTACACAGACAGACTAAACGGATAATACAGGACAGTCGATTGAAATTGCGCTTAAAGTCCCCTTAAAGTCTCATGAATTTTGTGTACCCTGTATAAGAATAGTACATGTGTACCTTGTATAAGAATAGTATCGAAATTTTTTGTGAAAATCCGTGAATTATTTTTGTTTTGTTTTACGATGTACACAAAGAGAACATGTTCACAATTAATTTAGGAGATGGGCGCGAAGCGCCCTCTAAGGCTAGTATATATATATACCTTCAGAATTCTAACATTTTTGAAAGTGAGGTAAAATTTATTTTACACGCACAAAATAAATAACTACTTACTGAGATATGATTCTTGGTTTTTAGCGGAGAATTTCTTTTCTCCTCGTTCATATTCCGAACCTTCTTGATGAGGTCAATATTCATGGTTCGGAGCCGGTCAATCTCAACCTGGAGCTCTTCAAACCTAGTAATCAACATAATGAACATCATTGACATAATGGACATGAGGTCATCATGAACATCATGACCATCATGAATACCATGAACATCACGAACAACTGAATATCATGAACATCATGTACATCATGAACATCATGAACATCATGGATATCATGAACATCATGAATATCATGCACAACATTAACATGATGAACATCATGAACACCATGAACATCATGGATATCATGAACACCTTGAACATCATGCACAACATAAACATCATGAACATCATGAATATCATGAACATCATGGATAGCAAGCAATCATGAACATCATGAACATCATGAACATCATGGAAATCATAGCAGTCATGAACATCATGAACATCATGAACATCGAGGACATCGTGGGCATCATTGATATAATTAATTTCATGAACATCATGGACAAGATAAACATTATGAGCATAATATCAAGATTTTGAAAATCATAATTCATGATTATCATAATTTTAAAAATCAGAAAATTATCATTTTTACTTCACCCACCGTAGATCCGTTTCCAAGACATATATCTCCTTTTCTCTTCTTAATCTTCGTAGATCCAGGTAGATATCCTCCTTTTCCTTCTCCCCCCTTCTTCTTTCCTCATCCCATCTTCTCCTCTCCTCATCCCATCTTCTCCTATCCTCCTCCCATCTTCTCTTCTTCTTCTCAAATATTTCCTTTTCACGCGCCAAATTTAGATTGTCTTCCTTCCATCTTATCTTCTCCTTCTCTAGTTCAAACATGCTAATTTCTTCATTTCTTTGGTTCTTCTCCATTCCTCCTCTCCACTCTATTCTGTTACCTCCATCTATTCCTTTTCTCCATTCTGTCTCATAACTCAGCTAAAATTAAAAGTTTAGTTGTTACAGATAGATAGTAAATCATATTAATGTATCTAATCTTAGCCTTATAAAATTCAATTTAAATTTCTATTCATGAATATTGTCATACAACTTATTCTTTTAAATTTTGATTTTTTAAATTCCTTGTATCATTTTTTGATATTTCTAGAAACGTAAAGCATACTTTAAAATCTAAAGGTTTCCTCAGGGAACTCAGGTTATGTGGAAATTGATCAACCGGTGTGATATACTCTGATCTGAAAGAAAAAATATTCAGTTTTGATCGAAATAACTAAATATCAAAAATCTAACCTTGAAACTGAATCCTCCCTTCCCTCTACTATTCTTCCCTCTAAACTATGTTCAGGATCAGTCCCATCCTCATTTCTGTCTTCAGATTCATTTTCTTTGACTTCTTTATCATCCACGGTATCTCCTTTGTCATTATCTGTATTTGCTTTGTCATCATCCATATCTTCTTTTTCAGAATCTGTATTTTGTTTGACAAAATCAATATTTTCTTTGTGTTCTTCCATATCTTCTTTACCATCATCCATATCTTCTTTTTTATCATCTATATTTTGTTTGACTAAAATTGTATTTTCTCTATCATTCGTAACTTCTTTGACAGAATCTCTGCCTTCTGTGTCATCTTTCATATCTTCTTTGTCATTATTAATATTTTCTTTATCATCATGTGTATTTTGTTTGACTAAAATCGTTTCTTCTCTGTCATCCGTAACTTCTTTGACAGTATCCCTACCTTCTTTGCCATCATTCAGATCAACTTTGTCATCATCTATATCATTGCTACGTTCTTTATCAACCTCTTGTTGATCATTGATGTCTATACTGTCATCTTTATTTACATGTTTTATATCTTTATCAATTTTATTTTTGGGTTTATCATTGTCTTTATCTTCTTTTACATATTTTGTATATTTATTCTCTTTTCCTCTATCAGTTTCATCTTTAACATTGCCTTTATCTTCATCACTCTTTTCATCTTCAGGGTTATCATCTTCATGATCAACATCATCCTGAACAACCTCAACGTGTTGTTCAGCTTCTGGACTAAGTTTTCTGACCATAGATCTAGGAATTTGAACTTTATTTCTTGATCTTACAAACCGTCCAAATTGTCTGAAAGAAAAATGATGAATAAAGATGTAAAACTTAAACAAATAAGATTAAACCTTATTAATTAAGTATTAAAATTGACTGAAATATAGAATAGCCTAAAGCATTTCAGAATGAGTTTTTTTTTGCTAAAATATAATGACATGTTTCTTTTGTAAAAATAACATTGTAATTTTAAACACTGAGCTGGAAAAAAATTGAATTTATGCCACAAACTAAAATTTTCTAATCCTTAATATCTTTCCAACCTGAGTCTGAATTTTATGAATTTGAGCCGCGTTTCAAATCCGCCAAAAACCGGGTTCAATTTAGAATTTAATAGAATTTTATTTGGAACCAACCATATTTGAGCTCCGTCTCAAACTTAAGCCTCTGCTCAAATTCTTTAAATTCGGCCTTTGATGGTGTAACCCTTTGAAATTTCAAACTTAGATTATTTGATTTAATAGAATTCATAGTTTGAAATGTCAAAGGTTTTCGACAATGTGTTGCAAAGATATAGGGATTAGAAAAACAGAGTTTGTGACAAAGACTCAATTCCTTGTGCGATATCTCTAACATTCTGTTCTCAAATTCTATCAAAATATTTATAATGTTGAAAAGCTTCGGTTATTACTAATTACTATAAGTTAGAATGCTAGGCTTCTTTATACCAGTATATTTTTTACCTTCTACGGAAAAATCCGGATTCTGGATGAGATGTAGATCTTGTTTTTAAACTGATTTTGTCATTAATATCTTCTAATTTTTCTTCTTCTTTATTGTCTTTTGTATAGCGTCCTTCCTTCATTCTATATCTTTCGTTTTTTCTAATATCTTTTTCAGTCTCGACTAATTCATTTTCGTTTTGAAGGATTTTATTCTTTTCTTCATTTTTATTGTCCCCAACCTTAAAGGAGGGATGTGTTAATCTTGGAATCTTTGATACTTCGTTAACTTGATTAAAACCATTTGAGTCAGAAGTTTTTATCAAATGATTTCTTGAAGTTTTTAAGACTGGAGTTCCGCAAGGAGAGGTATTGGAAGCTGTCGTTATTGAAGATGCATGGAAAGTTGGTTGCATCGCACACGGAGAAATTGATGGATTGTTTAAAGGTTCAGATATCACAGCTGTAGTTGTTAACGGAGAAATAAACACCGGAGAAGATGTAACAACTGCATCATCTCCAATCGAAATAACAGTCTTGGTTTTTGTACTTGATGGAATTGTTAAACTTGAAGTTATCTCTTCAGAAAATACAAACGGCAAATTCTGAAAACATAATTAGAATAAAAGTAAACATTAATAAAAAACTATTGATTGATTCTGAAACAGTCTTGGAACTATAGAGCTAGATACTCTTAATCCCGATCGCTTAATCTCGATATCCACAGTGGGTTTTTTTTTTAATTTGAGGATCAATGCTTAATCTCTTCATTTCTGTAATCCCTGATAACAGAAGAATTACGATTACCATGCAGGATATCAAATAATGGTTAAATTTATCTGCACATTAACAAATTATCGAGATCAAGCACTGATCTTGATATCCACAATACAAGAGTTCCCAGTGCTGATTAGGAAAAAATCTATATAAAACTTCTTACAGTCTGTTTTTAAAAAAACATGGCTATATGTACTTGCAATAGAGTATAGTGTATAGAGTATATAGGGTTGTTAGTCTTATTAATCGTTTTTAAAAAAGGAGGGTTAAACGATCCTTTTTTATTTCGTTTTTCAATCGTTTTCAAAAACGTCGTTTCGTTTTTGGAAAAAAGGATCGTTTTTAAAAACAACCCACTCGTTTTGAACTTTTAGAAAACGAACAAAGATAGTTTTAGAAAACTATCGGTTTTTTGAAAACGATTTGAAAAAAAAAACTAATTTATTGACAATCATGTTAACGATCGTTAACGAAACGAGGAAATTTATAAAAACGGTCGTTTTTGAAAAAACGATCGTTTTTGAAAAAAATACATGCAATTTTATTGAATATCGTCTTACATGAAGTTAAAAAGTTGTGGGGGAGCTAAAACTTCTTGATATTTTCTTAAAAATTACTCAATGATAAGTACAGATGCCCTTCAGGTCGGTTTCTTCTCTTTGTTAACGATCGTTAACGATTTATCGTCTTTCACGATCGTTAACGAAGGGTCGTTGTTAAAGATCGTAAACAAAGGTTCGTCGTTAAAGATCGTTAACGAAGGGTCGTCGTTAACCAACGTTAACGAAACGACGATTTGTATAAAAACGATCGTTTTGAAAAACGATCGTTTTAAAAACGACCAGTTTTAAAAAACGAACTTTTTGAAAAAACGAGTATAGAGTATAGAGTATAGAATCATTTATCAATCTTAAAACATTTTGAATCCCGAAAATCTTGAGCATTCTTTTTAAGGTTTAATTTTCCTTGATTAATTAATACCTGTGAGATCTGAGGGTCAGATGGAAAGAAGGTTGAAGGGATTTTGTTCCTAGAAAGATAAACATTAGATGATTAAAGAGAAAATAGTAATCCAAGAGAACAAAAAGGGGATTTTAAACGAAAACACAGAGATTAAATTCAATTCAGTAAATTGGAAACATGGTATAGCACAGTCGGGTGAATTAGTAAAAAAATAAAGGCATATTAAGGTAATTTTTTTTTAAATGTTTTGATAAAGAAATCGACTCTATTTTCTATTCACTATATCTTTGCTAACCAATTTTTAGACATGACCTATTTCAAACTCTGAATTCTATTGGATTAAAAAATATAAGTTTGAAATATCAAAGGTTTATATTATCAAGTTCCATATATATATTTATAGGGATTTGAAAATTTAAGTTTGTGTCAAAAATTGTATTCCTTTGACTAAAATAAATGAAACTTCAGAGACATCTTGACAAATTTATCAGTTTTTATTTTCAATTCGTCGTTTTTAATTAAATTAACTAAAAAGTGAAGAACAACGGACTGAATTCAACCTGATTGTAATATTCCAAAAATTTAATCTCAGGTCTCATTCATATTGAGGTTTTTTATCTAGACTTGGAGATCATATTTCAGGGTTACCTATAAAGGATGAGACTGTAAAGACGACCTGAAACGCTTAAAATATGACGGTCTTTTACTTTGACTATAGTCTTTTTATAGATTCTTTAATTAGTCGGCAATCAAATAAATAAATTTCAGGGAATCATATATATAAATAGATATAAGGAAACAAACCGTATTTGTCTCTTAAAGTCTCATCCTTTGTGGGTAACCCTGTATCTTAACTTTTTAGCAAGTTTTTTGTCTTTCTCACTTTCTCATTTCAGGTAAAAGGTAGTTAAATAGCCTTCAATGATTTTTGGCAAAAATTATTGAAAAAATCCACTTTTACTTAGCAAATATGTAATAAACAATACAATCTTCCTAAAAAGGAAAAATTTTCATAAAAAGAAAGGAGGAATCATTAATGAAGGCCTAATCGAAACTATAGAAACCTCTGTCAACAGCCTCACTAAAGGGTCTGACCTTTAAACCTTTGTATGTTCAAGAATGACGAAGATATTCTTTTTTATCAGAAAATTGATTATTTTTAAAGGGACCGTTCACTTATTTGGGTAATTTCAGGGTAAACTAAACAGCCTATTCGCTCTTGATTGGTAATAGTCTTACTTTTCAAATAGGCTGTTTAGTTTACCCTGAAATTACCCAAAAAAGTGAACGGTCCCTTTAATTAATTGATGTTATTTTTACTGAGATAAAGGTTTAAAGCTCCTTGAAGGGTCATATAAAATTATTTTGACATTCCCTTCAAGGCTTCAAGGTACCTGGTAGTGCTGTTACTTTTTATCTGAGAACCCCAAACCAAAGATCTTGGATTAACCCATTCATCTGAATAAACATATATTGGTTCAAACATACCCCTTAATTGTATCATGTACAGTGCATGGTCACCAGAACACAGTGGGCTGAACTACTATGCAAAATTTTTGCTATTTTTTATAAAAATAAAGCTTTAGAATTGTTGATATCGAAATCAATACAAGATCTCGTTTTTTTATCTGCTGATTAAAAGAATTATTCGCGAAAACTGAAATAGTAGTTTTGAAAATTACGCGTAATTATTACAAAATTTCGCAAAATTACTTTGTAGATATTACGCGAAATTACGTCGTAATTTCTCGAAGTTCAACTTTCGCCAATTACGCGTATTCCTGCTAAATTACACGAAATGAAAATTATTTTGCGTTACTGCGCGTAATTTCGCGTAAGTGAATAATCTATTACATTGGAAACACTTAACTATGTATAATTAGAACTTTAATTAAGGAGTCTTGTTCTAATTGCTTCATCTGAAGACAGTATTACACCTTATTACAATTTAGGATTAGATTTTATTTCAATCTTTTAAATTTTATTCTATAAATAAATATATTAATTGTTTCAATTTTCATCACTGGTTTACTAATTATATTGTTTAGTTTTGTTATTTTTCCATGTTACTAAAAAGGAGATAGAAATACAGGGTGTCCCAAAAAACATGGGAATTCAGTGACGAATTCGACATCGTCTTTTCAAATAATTCTTTGATTTAGCATAGTGATACCTACTGAGAAAGCTGTAATCTGTAAGAGTTTCGTCTGCTATGTTTACAGTTTGTTTGTTTATGTTTTGACTGCAACCGGTTGTACTTAGTAAAACAAGAAAATTACAGTATACTGACAGAGTAAACTTGTCCGTCTTCACTGTTCATCTTGCGGAGACATTATAGACACATCTTTACAGTCTTTTACCCTTTTCATTAAATAAACTCTAGCAGACATAATAATATTATGGCTTTTGAAATTAGGTATTACAATGCTAATTCATAACANGTTACAGGGTTACAACACATAGGATGAGACTTTTGTTACAGGGTTACAACACATAGGATGAGACTTTTGTTACAGGGTTACAACACATAGGATGAGACTTTTGTTACAGGGTTACAACACATAGGATGAGACTTTTGTTACAGGGTTACAACACATAGGATGAGACTTTTGTTACAGGGTTACAACACATAGGATGAGACTTTTGTTACAGGGTTACAACACATAGGATAAGACTTCAGAGACGACTGTACTGATTTTATACTGTATTTCCTTCTATTAAGGATTAACCTGCAATTGTAAACTTTGGTCTTTTTTTGTATAATTATTAATTATTAATTAATTATTATTAATCATTAATTAAAATAACTTATTTATATTAAGAGAGAGGATTTAATTCATTCTTTGGATCGTCATATTTTAGAGTTTCAGGTCGTCCCGTAGGTCTCATCTTTTGTTGATAACTCTGTATCTGCGAGAGTGAGCCCTACTTGTATAAACTTATCTATATGATAAAACAAGACATTCATATATATTCCCTCTGGCCGGCCAAACGGCTGGACAGAATGGGCTGAAATTTTTAGTGGACACCCATGGGGGTGACATAGACTAAAAATCGATTTTTTCCTATATTTTTTATTTCTGTTTTCCTTTTTTCCTTTTTTTCACGGGCAACGCCGGGCCCTTCAGCTAGTTATTTACATAACAATTAATAATTATACCTTTTCCAACTTGCACTATGGATATTTGCTGAGCATCAAACAAATCTAAAATTTATTCTATCAGAATCTACGTTACTTACTTTTTTAGTATTTAATTTAATTTAATCTTTAATTCAACCTTTTAAAACTTAGTTGGTAAAAGATTTAGCGGAAGAAGACATTTTAAAAAATCGTAATTTTCACGGTAATCAGTTAACCATAAACACTGAGACAAAGAAATGAGCATTTTTCTCAACTTTAATCAAATTAAAATTGAAATCTGACATTAATATTTTCCTATCTTCTTCACGACAAACTCATCAGGGTGTCCCAATAATCCTATCTACTTCACGACAAACTCATCAAGGGTGTCCCAATAATCCTATCTACTTCACGACAAACTCATCAAGGGTGTCCCAATAAAAAGGGAATAAAGTGACGACTTTTAAGTTTTGTTCTATTTGAAAACCATGATTTTTTAAATATTCTGGGATTTCCTAAATGTGGTCTGGATGCTTAATGGTACGTTCACGTTTTGGAAACCCCGTAGGATGCTCAATACGAAATTTCTCCTGTCCCGTGTCTATTGAGATATCCTTCACAAAGTTTTTTCTCGATCTAATTCTAAACCCAATGTGGACCCAAGGGCAGTACACTAAAATCTCCATAGAATAGGCTGGTTCATTTGGTATACCGTACCGTTTTGCCTTATAAATATGGTCTGTGTGTGTACTGTTTAGCTTGCTCTAGCTGCTTAAAAGTCTGTACGGTATTTGAAATGAACTGGAGTTTACAGTGAGAGGAGTATACAACCCCACACCACCCCCAATGGACAAATTACTTTAAACCTAACCTAATTCTAAAGATTTACCTGGGTCATTGTCGTCTTCACTTGAAGTATTAACAAGAGGTATTGCGCCGGTCAATCTAACCTAAAATCGCCACAAATCCTTATTTTCTAATCTCTATATCTTGAAAACCTAATGTAGTAGACCTTTCATGTTCTAAAGTATAAACTTTCTTGGATTTATTATTCTAAACTTCCAATGTCAAAGTTTACACCACTAGGGATTTAAAAAACGTTTTCAAGTATTCAGTTGATCTTCCAAATAATGAAGGATACAGGAAATGTTTGTAATTATGATTTTATATAAAAGTTGAATATTAAATTGTGATTTGTGACCTGCACAGCTGCTTTTACAGGACGCCGCCTCGCTCTCTTTCTAAAAAAATCTTTAAAAGTTTTGTCCCAAGCTCTATCCCCCCTTATATTGATTACGCTCTTGTATATAATATACCTAGGTATGAGCAGTTTAGTCCCAAGCTCTATTCTAATCTATTGTATAATATACCTAGGTATGAGTAGTTTAGTCCCAAGCTCTATTCTATTCTATTCTATAATATACCTAGGTATGAGCAGTTTAGTCCCCAGCTCTATTCTATTCTATTGTATAATATACCTAGGTATGAGCAGTTTAGTCCCAAGCTCCCTGGGCCAATCATTTTCTTCTCTTGAATACTTCTTCTTTACATCAAATCAAAATATTTAAATTCTTGTAAAATGAAAAAAATTGCTACAGATCATTGCACTTTTCCTGACACTTGTGACAAAATAAACATTAGGTGAAGAAAAAAAAACCTTCTTCACAAATTTAAAATTCCATTTTTATGTCAAATTAATTTCTCGTTGAATTAAAATAATAAAGATTTCAAATTATAATTTGTCGTCATTGATTTTCATTTTTTTTCAAAATCTAATTTGATTCCTGCATAGTTAGTGTAAAATCTCCAATTTGGTCATGACCGCTGGCGCCTCGGTGGTGACCTCCACCAATTCTTCGGTCATGACCGCGATCTCCACTGTCTCCCTCACCTCCTTCCTTCAGTATTCTTTGTTAATTTTGAAGAAACAAGATGTTAAAACTTTTAACTTCATTAAATACTAGAACGAAGTAATAAATCTGTTTCTAGAGATTAGAAAGTTTTCTTATTTCTAGAAAAAGTGTAAAAGTTGCAATTTCTAAAATAGTTTGCTATATTGATAATATTGAAAAATATTGAAATATGTTACAAGACTTAAGCAATGTAGTGTTGAAGGTAGTGTTGAAGGTAGTGTTGAAGGTAGTGTTGAAGGTAGTGTTGAAGGTAGTGTTGAAATTAAGTGTTGAAGGTAGTGTTGAAATTAAGTGTTGTGTTTCCATCAGAAACCATGAGCAATAAATTTCAAAATACCAAAATACCTGCGGAATAGGTCTTTGTTTATTAAAAGTACGCGGAGAAATATATAAAAATTACGTTTTCATTTTTCATTTTGTCGTTTCGTTTTGCGGTTAATCTTCAAACCACATCCGCAGCATCTACACAATTAGAACATTTTAACATTGAAAAACAGAAAGTTTTATAGAATATTTGTTAATTCATTATTGTGAGAACAAATACTTTTTTGTATTATCTCAAATCTTTACAATTAATTGTAATAATAAGATTTTTCATTTGTAATCTGGAAATTGTATTTAAGCATTTTTATATGTAAAAAAAAGAAAAAAAATCCTTCCAAACAGTGTTAAATTGTATCTCTTTTCTTATCACATTCTATTTAAAAAAATCGCTAAAAATAACAATAAAAAAGTTCCTTTATATTTCTTTCCCAAATCATAAAGTTTAAAAGAATACGTGCGCTCCTGGTAGAACCACTGTGTCATCTTCTTCTTGTGATGAAAAACATTTTAACAACTTCTGAAAACAGCTGAAATAATAAAATAATAAAATAAAAAACATTTTTTCAGTTTTACAACTAACGCTTTTCTGTTTGACTAATCATGCTTTTCGAGACACCTTGTTGCTAGTTTTTTTTAAAATAAACTGTTGAAAAAGCTGTTTTAATTAAATCAGAAATGTTCTAATTATACAAGAAATGTGCTTATTATACAATAATTATACCAGAAATGTTCTGATTATTCAAGAAATGTTCTAATTATACCAGAAATGTTCTAATTATACCAGAAATGTTCTAATTATACAAGAAATGTTCTGATTATTCAAGAAATATTCTAAATATACAAGAAATGTTCTGATTATTCAAGAAATGTTCTAATTATACAAGAAATGTTCTGATTATTCAAGAAATGTCCTAATTATACAAGAAATGTTCTGATTATTCAAGAAATGTCCTAATTATACAAGAAATGTTCTAATTAAACCAGAAATGTTCTAATTATTCAAGAAATGTTCTAATTATACAAGAAATGTTCTAATTATTCAAGAAATGTTCTAATTATACAAGAAATGTTCTAATTAAACCAGAAATGTTCTAATTATTCAAGAAATGTTCTAATTATACAAGAAATGTTCTGATTATTCAAGAAATGTTCTGATTATTTAAGAAATGTTCTAATTAAACCAGAAATGTTCTAAGTATTCAAGAAATGTTCTAATTATACCAGAAATGTTCTAATTATTCAAGAAATGTTCTAATTATACAAGAAATGTTCTGATTATTCAAGAAATGTTCTGATTATTTAAGAAATGTTCTAATTAAACCAGAAATGTTCTAAGTATTCAAGAAATGTTCTGATTATACCAGAAATGTTCTAATTATACAAGAAATGTTCTAATTATACAAGAAATTTTCTAATTATACCAGAAATGCTCTAATTGTACCAGAAATGTTCTAACAATACCAGAAATGTTCTAATTTTACCAGAAACGTTCCAATTATACAAGAAATGTATTGGTACACTGCAATTAATAGTCAACTATTGTATGAAACAAAAATTACTTCGTAATAATCTGAAATCTAATTTTGTTAATGAAAAAATGAGGCGCGAAGCGGTGGGTAGTTCTGGTGCATGGAAAAAATTAAACTTTACTCTAGACACAGCTTTCATAAATACATTCTATTCTAAACTTTAAAGAGGCTGTAGACTTAATAAGTAGATGAATGAAAAATATGAGAGATAGACTAAACCAACTACAAGGAACCAATATATTAGTAGTATGGACAAGTGCAGTAGATGAATGAAAAATATAAGATATAAACTAAACCAACTACAAGGAACCAATATATTAGTAGTATGGACAAGGATGTAGTAGATGAATGAAAAATATAAGAGATAGACTAAACCAACTACAAGTAATGAATATATTAGTAGTATGGACAAGGGATGGTAAATTAGTAAATAAATGAGAAAGGAAGACTAATACAAATGACAAGGGACGGTAAATTAGTAAAGGAGAAGGAACAGTAAATACGATATTGAGAACAAGTAACAGTAGACTCGTAAATAGGACAAGATACAAGGACAGGGACAGGACGAATAATAAATAAGAACAAGAAACAGTAGACTTGTAAATAGGACAAGATACAAGGACGGGACAGGACGAATAATAAATAAGAACAAGAAACAGTAGACTCGTAAATAGGACAAGATACAAGGACAGGAGCAGTACGAATAATAAATAAGAACAGGAAACAGTAAATAGGTAATAATGCTTCAAAGATTTTTCCTATTTTTATTAATGTCTGTTAAAGATTAAAGATGTCAATTTTGAAATTGAAAAAATTGCATAAAAAATTTTGATATTAACTTTAATTGGATTTCTTGAAAACGATTTTTGAAAAAAAACCAAACAGATTTAAGGGAATTCAAAGTCTTCACTTAATTCTGATGTTTTTTTGGGGGTCAACTTTTATTTATGAAAGCTTTGGAGTCGAAATTTTCTTTCACGTCCAGTGTTTGTAGGACTCACTTAATAACTCAAGCATTCTTGTAACACTACGATATGATTCACAATAAATGTTTTGCAAGATAATCATGCAAAGAACTAGTTTTTGGTAATTTTATGAGTCATTAACGTTTATTTCAAGGAACTGTAAAGGAAAAATGAAAGGGGGTATAGGAAAAACCTGAGAATCTCAGGCGTTGAACGATACATATAAGACTTCTATCTGATGTTCCTGTCTCGAGAAATTGATATAAAACTGTGTCAAAATTATACGAAAATCTATGTATATGAAATTTTGTAAAAATAATATGTTTAAACAGATCAAATTCAGCAAATACAGAAACAATCTGAAAACGATTATATCCCACATTATTATTATCCTTTAATTTTTATTTTGCATTTAAAATAGATATAATTGATAATATTTTGTACAAGTCCGTATTACGTCACAAGAACTCCCGCCAATGAGAGTGCAGTTTAGTGGTCACTTAATTAAATAATAATAACAGGAGCAAACCCGAGATTCTCAGGTTTCTGTGAGATATCGTCGTTTTCTGATTGGTTGCGTATTTGTGGAATATGATCTGTTTTATACAAAATTTCATATATATGAATGTTCGAATAAATTTGAGACAGTTTTATATCAATTTATCCATAGATAGATGCGTCTTTTATGTATCGTTCATCCTTTCATTTTTCCTTTACAGTCCCTTTAAAATACTGAATTTTTAAGATCAACAGTTTCTTAACTTGCTCACTTCCGAGTAAAAATAAAAAATAATAAGAACTAAAACACTTAATTAAATGTCTGCGTGTCTAAAAATGTTAACTTGTTAAAAGGTATCGTAAACTGAGCGTAAATGTTACGTTACGCTACCTTTCCCTCCGCGCGTCTGGGTCTCCAGCTTCTCGCGGATTTCTGATTCTTGCTTCTCCGTCTGCAGAGAGAGAACACAAAGAAACCATGGAACCATGAGAACCGTTGGATATAAATATCAACCTCTATTCAATTCTTATCGAGAAATTGTTGTTAACTTAGAGATTTTATTTAGTTAGAACCAACTCAAAAAAAGGTAGGATGAAAGATCATGTCTACCTAATTTCATTGCAATCAACACTCAGTTCTTCATACTGTACAGTGTACAGTCATATGTACATTGAAAATCAAGCTTATAGTATCTACAAAAATTCAAGTCAAGTAGTTAATATACTTCTATAATTTATATAATGCATCAATAATTGTCTTTTTTATTCTCGGCTCAACGCATCTATGCAATCTAATCTGATACCAATTAAGCTAAATTTCGGGACCCAATGTCAAAGTTGGTACTTGTAGTGTTTTTTTCCTAAATATGTCTGAAGTAGAAATGCGCAAATCACTCTTGTAGAGAACCCACAATTGAAAATAATTAGTTTTCCAAAATATAAACATTGATATCTAACTCTGACTTAATCATACAAAGCTAGGTACCGTTGTGAATCGGGCATTGCTATCTTTGCATGGAGTTAAATTACGGTTTGGGAGGGGCGCGAAGCGTCGTTTAATTTCTAGAGTATCATAAAAAGGTGAAGCCTGGATTGTGCTAACACCGGAAACGTTGTCAGAAACTTCATGGTCTAAGAATCAGTGTTAGGAGTTGAGGGTCAGTTCAATTTTGATACTATAGTCATATTTTACACTCCGATAACTTCAGATAGATTTTTTACAATTTAAAAAAAAAATATTAAATAACTGTGTCCAGGGAGCTTGTCATCCTTTTTTTATAAAATACATTTTTTTTGCTATTTTCAATTAAAAAGTTAAAATTAAAAAATTTAAAATCTTTCTTTACAACTTGTTTATTTAAATTTTGACCGATCATACCACTTCTCTGGGCCGGTTAAAATAAGCTCCTACACAAATTAATGGGCCCGATCGGCTCAGCCGTTTTGACCTTAATTGGATACCAACAGACAAACCAACCAACCAACAGACAAGCAAATTAAATATATAAATAAATGTAGATTCTGTAGAGTGTAGATATATATATCTTATAAACTTTATACGATAATTCTGCGTTAAACTAATATTGTAAAAATTCAAACATTCTTTATTTAATATATTACGTTAAAATACAACTGAAACGTGCATTGAAAAATATAAATATATACAACGTATATTTTAAATACATCTATTTTTACAAAAAATAAAATATATTTTGGGATAAAACATCTCGTATCACAGAGAAGACATTCTTAATGAAAAGCAATATTTTGGAAATTTCACATTTAGTTCATGAAAAATTGAAAATGCTTAAAAATTTAGAGAACAAAACTTTTTATGTTCGGTAAACATTCTGCCGATTTGATAATTTATAAAAATGCGCTGAAATTAACTTACAATAATCAAGTATTATTTACTAAACTTGAAAAATTTCATTATTTAATACAAGATTATTACTAATAACAAAGATAAATGTAATTGTAAAGAAAGTGAAATTATAATTACAAAATAAGGAAATAAAAATAATCTTTGAAAAGGAAATCATTTACATTCAAAATTAGAAAAAATGAGAAAGAATAGTTTTTAGATCTGAGGAAACAAATTTAAAATACATTCAATAGATACAAATTTAAAATTTCCACATATGGATTAAATTCGTATAAAAACGATATTCCCAAACTGAAAAGTAATCAAGAGAAACAAGAAAGCGGCCAAATATTTTTTATTCAAACCAATGATCAATTTAATCCCAAGGAAATATAAAAATATTTTTTTATGATTACAAGATAGAAATGTGCAAATGTATAAAAAGTGCTGATGAAAAATAGGTATCACAGGAGCTAAGGAAAATGCAGACAACAATCAGTTACTAATGCAATAATTACATTTTTAGGCCTTCATCACATCCAACAATGAAATGTAAATTTCATAATGTTTGTTTACATTAACACCAGGAAAAACACAACAACAATGGAAGTAAAATTTCTTAATTTTGATTGTTAAACATTTAGCTTAAAGAGACTGCAGGCGTAATTTCATGTGACTCTACATTTGTAGAGTGTTGGCATGTTCGATAAAAAACGGTTCCCTAAAAATATTGTCTTTTAAAACAATTAAACAATTGTGAATCGAACATTTAACTCTATGAATGGAAGGTTACTTGGAATTACGCCTTCAGTTCTTTCGAGGTTTAGATTATTTTAACTGGAGGACAGAAGATCCAACTGATGTAGCAACTTGTCAGCCTCCATCAGGGCATCCTCGTTTTCGTTCTCGTTGATCTCCTCCATCCTCATGCTGTCCTCTAGACGGTAGGAGGAGGACTGGCTGTCCTGCATCTCCTGGGCGCTCTCGACATGCATATCCCGGACACTCGTCCATTCACGGTTATCTCGTAGCAGTATATCCTGCAGAACCATATTGTCAGGGGGGGGGGTAAAAGGTGCCACCATTACTAGGGAAATGGTGAGAAAAGAAAAGGGAGCCACACAAGGAGGATAAAAGGGAAAAAGTGAAGGGGAACAAAAGAAAGGGGTCAGGGAAAGCTTAAAAACAAAAGGATTATAATTAAAGACAAAAATGAAACAAGGGAAATAAATAAAAATGGAGTAGAGTTAAAAACAAAAATAGGAGAGATTAAAAGAAAAAATGAACTTAATTAGAAGAGGGGAATATGGAGGTTAAAAAAAAAGGATGAGGGGGGGGGAACAACAAGAAAAGATACAAAAGACAATAAGGATGGGAGTGGAAGACAAAAAAAGGAAGAGGGAACGAGAAATAGAAGTGGGAACGACAATGAGAAGGGGGAGGGGATTATAAGGTCATAGGGGCGGAAAAAGAGAGGTTGGAAAAAAATAATGAAGGTTGGAAGAGAAAATGGAGCGGGTTGGTAAAGAAAAGAGAGTGGGTAAGAAGAGTAAAGGGAGGAGATTCGAAGAGAAAAGGGTGCAGGTTGGAAGAGAAAAGGGAGCGGGTTGGAAGAGAAAAGAAAGCGGATTGGAAGAGAAAAGGGTGCAGGTTGGAAGAGAAAAGAAAGCGGGTTGGAAGAGAAAAGTGAAAGGAAAGGAAGAGAAAAGTTAAGGGAATAGAAGAGAAAAGTGAAGGGAATGGAAGAGAAAAGTGAAGGGAATAGAAGAGAATAGTGAAGGGAATGGAAGAGAAAAGTGAAGGGAATGGAAGAGAAAGGGGAGGGGGTTGAGACTTTACGGGCTAGGGAAAAGGGTCAAAAGAAGGAAGTTAACTTCTTAAAGGGAGAGACCGTCTATGCAACATGTTTGAGCTGAAAGTGCAGTATTATAGAGAAATACTCTAGGATTCATTTGATACCAACGAGACATTTTTACGGTATACAATTCTTTAATAAGAGCTTGAAGCCGTTCCTAATATTTTACCAATTGTTTCAACCAACAGAAGAAACGTTTTAGACAATTATTTAATAAACCGGACAAACACATGTAAAAAACCAGTAAAAAAACTAACTTGCCGTTTAGGAACATATTTCTTAAAAGAAATTATCGATGAAAGCCATTGTAGAACCGTAGAATTGATAATTTCATTATCACTATTACCTTCGCTGTTACTAAATTTTTTGCTCTCGAAGATTTCTTCCAAATGTCGTCTTTACAATTAAAATAAAGAAAACCTCCAACAAGCAACCCTAGCTGAAAGACTTTGTATAAACCAGCGAGATTTTAAATGAATTGTAATAACTTATTTCCAATGATACTAGTTCATTATTTTATTCCACCTATTCCTATACATGCAACTAGTTCGAAGAACATGTTTTGTCCATATTATTTAAGAATTGTAAAAAAAACGTTTTTTCTGCTGGCTGAAACAACTTTACGCTTATTTAAGAATTGTACAGTGAAAAAATTTCTCGTATTCAATGAATCCTAAAGTTTTCTCACAATACTGCATTCTCAGTTAAAATATGTTACATAGCCGGTCTCTTTCTTAAAAAAAACAACAAAAAAGCGTGGAAAAAGAGGGTCAAAAAAAGGAGGAGCAAAAGACAAAAATGAAAAGGAAAGAGGAAAAAAATGGATGGGAAGAGGGATTGGAATTTTAGATGGTGCAGTGGAATTGAATATGATAAAGGAACACACAAAATACTAAAATAAGGTTTAGCAAAAAATGGAGTGAAATAAAAATTGAAATATATTGTGAAAAATAAAAAAGGAAGTGAGTTAATATTTGATTTAAATTCTCGCAGTTTGAACTCTGTACAAAACAAAATGTAAAACTTATAAGACATCTGCTTAACCTCACAAAACATAGTCCGGACTAGAGTTTGAATCGAACAAAAAAACTCTTAACAAAATTCAAGTTTGCACTGAGCAGAATAAATCCTTTTCAGGTTTCACCAATATCCAGACTTGTTTGAAATCTTTGTAGAAACCTAGATGAAAAATTCCAGATTGAATTGTGTCTTCTCCATTGAAAGAAATTGAATTTTCCATCAAGATTTCTCTCCAAATTCTGAAGATAAAAATTTTAAAATATTAAATTGTTTTTTGAAAGATGCATTACTTTTTATTAACACTATTATTTTATGTTTAAATTTCAAAATGTTCATTTAAACGGATTAAATCCTAATGTTTTAGACAATAAAATTAAGTATTTTCCTCCCCAGATGAATTTCGCTTAAAACCCATTCTAAACATTTGAATTTCTTATTTTTCTTAACAAAAAAATCCGAATCAAACTCTAGAAAGACTACTTTAGCTTATTTAATAATGTGATCGTAAAAAAGCGATTATCTACTTGAAGAAGCGATTATCTATTTGAAGAACTGAGCTGGAAATTTTAGTGTTGGATGCTCAAAATCCCGATCCCTTGAACGCGATATTCGCTGTGGGAACTTTTAATTTGAGTATCGAATTTTAATCTCTACATTTCAGTTTCCCCTTCTGGGTAAAATTACACTGCGGATATCGGTTAAAGATAAAATTAATCTGCAGATTAACAAAAGGTCGAGATCAAACATTGATCTCTATATCCCAATCATTTTAGTAAACGTACAGAGTTGCAGAAGGACTGAGTTTAATAGAATTAAACCAAAGGAAACGGCGGGAAACGGCAGAAAAGGGGAAATGTTTAATGTAATGATAATGTAAACATACAGGGAGAAAATGCGTAAAATAAAATTAAAGCAATGGTTGATGTTCACCTCTTTAAATGAGAACTTCCTTTTCTCCCCACTAGATCCTCTGTATAGTTCCTCCTTGGAATAAAAATACATTAATTTTCCAAAAACTTGTTTTTTTATTTTACCAGTGGTTCAGGATTTGTTTCATATTAAAGCGGATCCAACTCTGTTCTGTAAGTTTTGCTTTTATCTTATGCCAAAGTTCTTTCCGTAAAAGAGGTTGTTTCTCCGGACATGGGTACTTTGTTCCACTAAATACTTTACTTAACTGTATTTGTCTTCAATCGGTAGGTTTTGTACATATATTCAAGAAGCTTAATTTTTTTTCAAACTAAAACACTTTTTATGTTTAGGTAATGATTCCTTTTTATCTTAACATTTTTCAATGAATAAGTTTTACTTTACTATAACATCAAAAACAGAATCTTTAAATACACTTGAACAAAACGGACCAAAAACTTCAAAATTTACTAGAAAACTTTCAGGCCAACAATATAAATATAAATTTCCCTACATTAAATTCCTTGGCAAACCTTTATCCTTTAATAAGATTTCCACAAGAGATGGTAATACAGTTAACAGACTGAAAAACTTCAGAAAATGTTTAAAATTTGATTTTAATCCAGAATTATGTTTGGACTTTTGAGGCGCCGTAGGCTAGGGGACTCTGAAGGTTTGAGAACTTGCCAAATGGAATTTGTTTCCCTTACTTTTTCTCTTGACGAGAAATATTGTTAATTCTACCTCTGAATCCATATCTGAGTCGGAGAGCAAGGGTAGATCTATTTCTCCTTTCCTCCCACTAAAACATAAAAACATGTAAATATCCGCGTCAAACTCAAAAATCCACGAAAAAAAATCACACAAAAATTACACACACTTAGGTTGAAAAACATATTAACATGCATTCGCTAACACAAAATTAACAAACATGGATTCAACAAAAAACAAGAAAATACAGAATTTTCCCAAATAATTTATTATTTAATTATTACACAGTAAATCAACAAAAGGATGAGAAAAATTACATTGTTAACATGAAAAATACGCATATTTTTAAAAAAATAATATAAAATATAAATGATGACAGAGGCCAAAACTTATGTGTAAAATTGCTAATCTACAATGCTTCGATATCCACTGAGGGAACTTTTAACAATGAGCGATAAATGTTTGATTGGGATATCCAAGAGAAAAAATTTTAAGCATTTAGGAAAAATGCTTAATCACGGGATTTACAACACAAAAGTTTTAACCTCAGGAGAAATTAAGTTTAATTATGATAGTTTTTATTTTATGAGCCCAAAGCTTTCACATCCCTACAGTGCCAACAGTCGGGTGTGTTTGTACAATGTACATGTGGTACATATGTTTTAATTAAGAAAATTAAGTAGAACTATAAGGTAACAATTTCTCACAAAAAAATCTCGTTCGGAAGTCTCGGGTTCATTTGTAAGGTCATTTCAATTTATAACTCGGGTAAGTTTAATATTTGAAATCTTACAACTTTTTGTGGTTTCAGTAAGCGTTGACTTCTGGGATCTTCTGAGATATTAAGCACTGTATTCATTGTTGAATGTTGTTTGCTGAGGTTCATCAATTTTTTATTTCATTTTATTATTCAACTTTATTAATCAACTTTTAAATTTCCGCAATGTTTGCAGTTTAATAAGTTCCGTGTTGTTTTTTGGTAGTTTTTTTCGGGTAGTTTTTTTAAGTTCCGTAAAGCTTGATGATTTCTGAGTTCCGTACAGTTTCAAGATTATTGAGATCCGTTAAGCTTGAGGATTATTAAGTTCCGTTAAGCTGATTGATTATTAAGTTCTGTAAAGTTTAAATGGTATTCAGTTCCGTTAAGTTTTAGGACCACTGTGTTCCGTAATGGTGTAGGATTGTTGAGTTCCGTAAAGTTTAATGATTATTGAGTTCCGTAAGTTTTTAAGATTATTGAGTTCCGTTAAGCTCATAAGGATGATTGAGTTCCGTAAAGTTTAACGTTTAAAGTTCTGTTAAGTTTAAGAAGCATTGAGTTCCGTAAAGTTTGAGGATGGTCGAGTTCCGTAAAGTTTGAGGATTACTAAGTTCCGTAAGAAGTGTTGTGCGCTGGAAGAATTTTGGTCGTAGAACAGGAATTAGCACTGGCAAAGATTCGAGGTTCATCTTCCTGGCCTACGGCAGTGTCCGCTATTCTTAGACTGACAAAGGAGGTGTTCAAAAGAGGCTGTTGTTCAAGATCCGAAGTCAGAGGCCGATCTTCCAAATCTAGGACGGTTGTGACCTCAACACTATAAAAAACGTTCAAACAACAGTTTTATCAAAAAATAATGCACTCTACAATTGATCAAAAATAATGCGCTTTACGATTGATCTGAAAAAATAATTAATAAACTAATGGAAAAATTTGACCTGAAACTTTAAAAAAGAGATTTATCGTTTACAATCAGCAAAAATATATACTCGTTCAAAGCCACACTGCATGCAATTAGTTGGAGCAGAAATAATCTAGGAGTATTTGAGAAATTTACCGTCACTTTTTATTTATCTCTTAACTCATTTCAAAATTACTAAAAACTCCTTCAAGTAACTATGGAACTCGAGGTGTAAAAAAGTGACAAAAAGACGAAGAATAATAACTCGTTACATAAAATAGTTAAACAAAATCATAAATATCAGCAAAGATAATTTAAATGTATGAACTACAAACATGAGCAGAACTACTTCACTCTGTAATGAATAACACAGAAATAAAAGGATTTGCTTCTATATACATACACGCAGTATGTGTGTGAAGTATGGCAAAAGGAAGAAAACCTCTTGAGAATAAAAATATTGAGTGACATTTAATTTTATGACAATATTGAGTTGTCCAACCTAGGTTATATTCAGGAGTTATGACAATATTGAGTTGTCCAACCTAGCTTATATTCAGAAGTTTGTCAATTATTGACTGACCATTGATATTCGAAAGACTTTTAGACTTAAATGTTTTTTACTCAAAAATCAATATCAACTAATCTCACATTTTTGAAGACTCGAAGGACTTAATGTTAGAACAATAGTGACTAGCTTCTCATACTCAAAAGACTTCTTGATTTGAAACACATTTAAAAATATGTGCCTTCTCGTATTACTTTTTTGTATTTACAGACTTGAAAGACTTGTTGAGTAAAAATGATGACTAACCTTTTAAACTCGAAAGACTTTATGAGTAATAATGATAACTAACCTTTTAAACTCGAAAGACTTAATGAGTAATAATGATGACTAACCTCTTATACTCGAAAGAATTGTTGAGTAATAATGATTACAAACCTCTTATACTCGAAAGACTTATCAAGAATTAATGATGACTAACCTTTTATACTCGAAAAACTTTATGGGTAATAATGATAACTAAACTCTCATACTCAAAAGACTTATTAATTAATAATGATCACAAACCTCTTATACTCGAAAGACTTATCAAGAATTAATGATGACTAACCTTTTATACTCGAGAAACTTTATGGGTAATAATGATAACTAAACTCTTATACTCGAAAGACTTATTAAGTAATAATGATCTAACCTCTTACATTCAAAAGACTTTTTGAGTAATAATGATGACAAACCTTTTATACTCGAAAGACTTAAGTAATAATGATGACTAACCTCTTTACTTGAAAGACTTATTAAGTAATAATGATGACTAACCTTTTAAACTCGAAAGACTTAATGAGTAATAATGACGAATAAACTCTTATACTCGAAAGACTTATTAAGTAATAATAATCTAACCTCTTACATTCAAAAGACTTTTTGAGTAATTATGATCACTAACCTCTTATACTCGAAAGACTTATTATGTAATGATGATCTAACCTCTTACATTCAAAATACTTCTTGAGTAATGATCTAACCTTTTATACTCGAACGACTTATTAAGTAATAATAATGACTAACCTCTTATACTCAAAAGACTTATTGACCCTCTGAGTCTCCGTGGCTTTCTTGAGAACATGCATAGATATCCCGAGTAGACAAACCATTAGACCAATCAGGTTGATTACAGATAGATCGGTAGATTGGTAGATTACAGCCAGGCTCATCGTTAGCAGCTATAATACAGAGGTATAGATTTTGATGTACTACTTTTCCCCCAAAAATAACTTTTAGTCCCCATAAAATCTAGAAGTTTCCAAACTTTTAGATTAAAACATTAGAATGTCCCCTGTAATAAAAAACTACAAGTTAGAATCTCAACTACTATATTATTTTTAAAGAAAAATCACTTCCACTCCACCTAAGATATACCTTATGATAGGAAATTTAATAGTTCCTTTTAATTCCTCCCCCCCCCCCTTCATCGTTTCCGTGGTTTCTTATACCCTTCTATAACGTCCAAGATAGAGTTTATATAACTTATTCAGCAGGCACAACCAAAGTTTATAATTCCTGCTAACAACTGCTAGGGATGGGCATAAAGAAAGTAAAAATTCTTATTTTTCTCAAATCTTTGAATAGATAATTTTTGATCAAAAAAATTGTAAACGTAAAAAAGTTAAAATTATTGTTTTTGTTGATGTTTCTTTCTGTGCGTAACGTATCAAATTACCTTTTTATCTCTCTTAATGGAAACAAAAAAGAACAAGAAAAAAGAATTTCATGATCTCTAACTACGGATAATCTCTTCAGACTCTGCAAAAACTTAAACTTTTCTCCAGAAAACATTATGAAAACAGAGAAAAATAAAAATAAGACAAATATTCATGGAGCGGAGAATCTTCCTTTTTCTTATTTTATAACTCCATTTAGTGGGAAATACTAAAATTAAAATACTAAAAGTACTAGGCTTCGCACCCCCTTTTCTTGGGCATTGTTTCTGCTAAAATTGGTAAATTTTCAAAATTGATCATATTTGTACGGGGAAAATTAATCAAGATTTAACATCTTTAAACCTTCCATGGGTCATGTGAGTTGACACACAAAAATTGGGACCGAACATTTCAGCTGTTTTAAAGTTTATTAAATACAAACAGACGGACAGACAAGCAAAATATATAAACACTACGCTTTTAACGAGCCCATCTTCTATTTTAATTGTGAACATTTTCTTTTAGTATACACAGGGTGGCCAAAACTTTTTTGAACCCATCCGAACAAAAATCCGTACATTTTCAGAAGAAATCCGTACAATCCGTACAATTTTCGAAAAACAATCCGTACAATCCGTACAATTTTTTTTAAAAAAATCCGTACAATCCGTACATTTTTTTAAACCAATCCGTACATTTTTTTAAAGATCCGTACATCCCATTTTTGAAAAAAACACATTAAAATTCAATTTTTCATTCATTGTCTTTTGTGTTCAGTTCATGTAAGAGGGTTTAAACTTCTTCAGCAAGAATCAATCTTTAAAAAATTGGCTTCATACATATATACAAACTAAATACTGGGAACATGATACTAGGTGCATGATACTGGATACTGGATACATGATACAGGGAACATGATACAGGATACAGGATACAGGATACAGGATACTGGATACTGGGTACATGGTACAGGATACTGGATACTGGATACTGGATACAGAATACAGAATACAGGATACTGGATACAGGATACTGGATACTGGATACTGGATACNTGAGTGAGTGAGTGAGTGAGTGAGTGAGTGAGTGAGTGAGTGAGTGAGTGAGTGAGTGAGTGAGTGAGTGAGTGAGTGAGTGAGTGAGTGAGTGAGTGAGTGAGTGAGTGAGTGAGTGAGTGAGTGAGTGAGTGAGTGAGTGAGTGAGTGAGTGAGTGAGTGAGTGAGTGAGTGAGTGAGTGAGTGAGTGAGTGAGTGAGTGAGTGAGTGAGTGAGTGAGTGAGTGAGTGAGTGAGTGAGTGAGTGAGTGAGTGAGTGAGTGAGTGAGTGAGTGAGTGAGTGAGTGAGTGAGTGAGTGAGTGAGTGAGTGAGTGAGTGAGTGAGTGAGTGAGTGAGTGAGTGAGTGAGTGAGTGAGTGAGTGAGTGAGTGAGTGAGTGAGTGAGTGAGTGAGTGAGTGAGTGAGTGAGTGAGTGAGTGAGTGAGTGAGTGAGTGAGTGAGTGAGTGAGTGAGTGAGTGAGTGAGTGAGTGAGTGAGTGAGTGAGTGAGTGAGTGAGTGAGTGAGTGAGTGAGTGAGTGAGTGAGTGAGTGAGTGAGCGAATGCGTGAGTACGTGAGTGAGTGAGTGAGTGATGTTGCTAGTAATAAGTCCGTAAGTACCAATAGCTTAGTTTGAGGTGGTAAGAAAAAGAGATAAAAGATATAAATAATTTACCAGCAACAATCTCTGACGCATCAAGTGTAATATCGCTCATATTATAATCCTGTAAAATTAGAATTATATAATTTTTAATATTGCAATCCTAAAACGGTGTAATCTTAAATGCACAAAAAAGCCTAAAATATTAATATATGTTTTTAATATATTAAGATCTTGAATATTGTAACACCAGAGTTTTAAAAATAAAAATATTATAGTTTTTAAGTACGAGGAAAAAATGATCGTAAAAAAACAATTTTTAAAAGCTATAAGTTTAGTCACAAACTCAAAGATTAGATAAAAAATGAAAAATAATATCCAAAAATTGAAAAAGTTTGCAACAAGAGAAGTAACAAACCTTAATATTTCCCAGCATATTGATCAGGTTGGGACCCTCGAACCCGATGACGAAGGGAAGAATGGTGATGAACATGATGGGCTGAATGTGGAAGATCATATCTATTGGGTTGGAGAGCTCCTGGTTAGATCTCTGCATAATCAGCTGAGAAAGGGTCCATCGTATTCCAGACAGGAAACTAACATATTTCAATAATTTATCAAATTAAAAACACAATCATAAAATTTCATAATATACCTCTCCTCTCTCTTAAATAATATTTTAAGAAAAAATTCAAATATTTAGATGCGGATCTATTCCAGGATTAGTGCGTTTTGAGAGACAAAATCCCCCCCCCCCCCCCATTTCTGTTGATATTTTGCACCGTGGATACGCACATTTTTACGAATACGGATCCAAGGAGTCGGGATCCAAGTAGCCAACATTTTACGGATCGAAGGAATCCAGGTTCTACAGTGAAATCCAGAGAACTCAGGAATAGGAAGTCGACTGCTAGACTTTACATAATCTAATAAACATGACCCATTTCTCGTAATAAGTGATTTAATAACTTACTTGTGAAGCCCATTTGCTGAATAACAACATCAAATGCACTTCAGTATTGCTTTAATGTCGTCTTCCTATTCTACAATTTTAAGGTCAGCACGGTAAGAACCGAGTCTGAGTTACCTTGCTGAAAGAACCATGAAGAACCCAATGATGTTGAAGTCTGATGACTTGTAGGTGAACATGATCAGGCCAGTAGCGATGGTCAGCACGATAAATATGAGGGACCAGTGCTAGAAAACAATATTTATCAATTCCGAGACTTGAAATTTTTAACAAAAATAATCTTACAATTGTCGTCTTTTATCTTTTAACGTTTTTTAATACTTTGGCGATTCCGGACAACCTTTTAACTTATGCAATATTTGAGCTGGACATTTTTTCTTTCTTTTAACCTCAAAATTTACATGAATTAATTTCAACCTCCAATTAACTTCTAACCTAGAAATTGACCTCGCTCTTTCTTTTAACCGCGAACTTGACCACTCACTTCCTTTCTTTTTACATCTAACTTGACCACTCACCTCCTTTCTTTTTACCTCTAACTTGACCAGTGACCACTCACTTCCTTTCTTTTAACCTCTAACTTGGCCACTCACTTCCCTCTTTTTACCTCTAACTTGACCACTCAATTCCTTTCTTTTTACCTCTAACTTGGCCACTCATTTCCTTTCTTTTTACCTCTAACTTGACCACTCAATTCCTTTCTTTTTACCTCTAACTTGGCCACTCACTTCCTTTCTTTTTACCTCTAACTTGGCCACTCATTTCCTTTCTTTTTACCTCTAACTTGACCACTCAATTCCTTTCTTTTTACCTCTAACTTGGCCACTCACTTCCTTTCTTTTTACCTCTAACTTGACCATTCAATTCCTTTCTTTTTACCTCTAACTTGGCCACTCGCTTCCTTTCTTTTTTACCTCAAACATGACCTCCTCCTTTTAACTTTTAAAGTAGAAATTGGCCCGTTTAATTTTTCTTTCTACGCTAAAATTGACATTTGTACAATTCTACTTAGTAATAATATTAATAAAAGGAACCCTAAAGGGGTAAATAAGAAAGGTGAACATTTTCTATATGTAACATATTGATTTGATGTTTCATTTTTCTTTTACCTTTCTCTCTACTCCGAAGATAATTGCAAAGAACAGAATGAATATAATAGAAGTTGATTTTGTAACTGTATACAAAGCAACCTTAATAAAAATAAATGGATTAATTATTTTCGTTCGTACTTCTTACAGAGAAAAAGGGGCATATATATATATTTTAAAGAAGCATGCCCTCCAACCAGGCCGTCTTCAAAAATCATCTTTCTCGCCCTTATAATATGCTAGAATGCAGTGCAAACAATATTTTTGGGTTGAAGAAACAATAAAACAGTAGTTACCCCTGGTTTAAGAATCAGTGCATAGGATCCATTTAAATTTGATGCGGATCCGAATCCTGGATCCGCATTGAAAAAAAAATGGATCCGGATCCAGGTCATTTCTTTAAGATTTACTGAATTCTTTTAACAAAAAATAATTTTCAAATTTTTTTAAATATTTTTTTCGCTTATTTTTATCCTAAAACTTGCTGAACCATTCAGAAATGAGAAAATTTTTTAATCTCTCTTTTTTTCAAAAGTTCAGATTTGGGGTTTAGGAGTAAAAAAGTTTTTTTTGTGGTTTTTGGTTGATATTTTACCCCTTGGATCTGGATCCGGATCCGGATCCAGGAAGCCAAAATCTTGCGGATCCTAAGCACTGAAGAATAATATAGGATTATTTTATTGATGGGACTGTCGTAGCTTCAAGGAACCCTCCATGACCGATTCACAAGAGTACCCACTAAACCTTCATCTGATCAACACTGTGGAAGAAATTGTCGTTTTTTTAGTTCGGAAAATTGTTTAGTTTTGACAATTTCCGCCATTTGGACGTAAATAGAGAAACAAAAAATGAAAACAACCAACTTTCAAAGTTAAAAATTTACCGATATATCATTCAATCTTGAACAAACAAAGATTTTTAAGGAACCATTGTTAGTTATAGTATCATTTAATTTATGTTAACAGTCCGTTTATGTTACTTTATTTTGAAATGCATGTAATCAGAAATGAAGATTATTAAGAATGGAGAAGGAAGAGAGAGAATAGGTAATGAATGAAAGTGACCGGATAGGGATCAAAGAGTACAGTTAATGCATGCATCCAATCCTAGAGCTGTTATTATCAATTTACAAAGAACCAGGGGTGTGTATTTTTTACCTTAAAACTTATTGATTCAGGTAGTAAAATCCTGATAATGGTTTTCCGGTAAAAACTAAGATTTTAAGGGTGAAAAAAGATCTGTAAAGAAAATATATAACCTTGCAAAGAAAAAAGAATATTCCAAGAAAAAGTAATTTAATAAAGATTGTGGTTATTCATATCAATCCCAAGAAGAGAACAGAGGTAATCGGAGAAAATATAATAATATGTATTTTGTAGATAAATAAAAGATAAAGAGATTGTTATAATCTTTTAGTCAGAATATGTACTTTTGTCTTATTTTTTGTGGATGGAACATTAGGACATAAAAATTAGCAACTGATAAGCCCCATCCCCAAGAAATAAAGAGTCGTCATTCAGATCAGGATTGGCCATACCCGATTTTTTTTTACCATGTAGTGTCCTGATGTCCTAAATAATAATTCAGCCGTTGAGAGAAGAAGCGTGAAGTGTTTTTTAACACCCTTTATGTATGTAGAGTTAAACATTAGATGTTTAATAAAACGCTGAAGTCTGAAAATTTTTACATTAATTTTGAATTTGTTTTACTTGGTTAAACCACATAGCGCGAAAAATCTTTTAACGACATTTATCTAAAAAAGTATTTTAATTTTCTACCTGAATGTATTCTAAACTCCACTGTGACAGCCCTATATCCAAGGATGCTACTAGAGCTACCAGACCAACACGACCAATAAAATTCCTCCAGCCTGATAATATTAATTGATCAAACAATGAACCAATCAACTAATCAATCAAATCAAATTAATCAAAGTATCAACTAATCAATCAAAGCATCAACTTATCAATCAAAGCATCAACTAATCAATCAAACATCAACTTATCAATCAAAGCATCAACTAATCAATCAAAGCATCAACTAATAAATGAAAGCATCAACTAATAAATCAAAGCATCAACCAATTAATCTAAAGCATTAACTAATCAATCAAAGCATCAACTAATCAATCAAAGCATCCAGCAAAAATCTATTAATAAATACACATATCAAACAATCAATCAATCAATCATTGAACCTATTCACCAATCAATCAATCAATCAAACCATCAATCCATCAATTCGTCAATCCATCAATTCGTCAATCCATCAATTCGTCAATCCATCAAACAATCCATCAAACAATCCATAAAACAATCCATCAAACAATCCATTAATCAAATCAAATCAAACAATCCATCATACAATCCATCAAACAATCCATCAAACAATACATCAAACAATAGATAAAAAAATCCATCAAAAAATCCATCAAACAATCCATCAAACAATACATCAAACAATAGATGAAAAAATCCATCAAAATAACATAATCAATCCATTCATTTTTAAACCGAAACAACCGTAACATCCTACAACCTATTGTTATCCTGATGTTGCCCGTGACCAGTCTATAGCACAATCTTGACACCCAAGCTAGCAACAACTTGATCAGGAAGTGAACACTAACAATCAACATCGGGAAGTGGATTTTCTAAATAGTATATATTTAATTTGTTTCCAATTAAAACAAACAATAAAAAATGTTATTGATGGAATTTAATGAATGCACTTTTCAGAGATATAAGGTAAAAAAAAACATAAAGAATAAAACTGACAAATTTTGAGAACTAAGCTTTAATTTACCTTGAGAAGGTAGCTCTGGTAGAATGTGAGACCTATTGAGGTAGCAAAGTAAAACATAACAAGTAGAAGAGTTCTGATAATTAAAGCAACATTTTACAAAATCTTTAAATCAAACCTGTTTAAAATAGAGCAGCGTTTATTTGCGGATGAATTATATGACTTAATTTTGGATTACGGTAATTAAATGTGCAAAATGAAAACTTGATAACCCCGATGTGCTAATATGTTCCAAAGTGGCAATTTTCAAACAGCAATTTCATAAATGAAAATGTATTAAATGCATAGAGAATAGAATATATATTAGAGGGGAAGTTAGAGAATCTCTCGGTATGAATTTTTTCAGTCCCTTTCAGCCTGAAAGGAAGTTCAAAGTGTACAATTCATGTAAATGTTTACAAATTATATGCAGTAGAATACATTTATACAATATGTACCCTAGACTATTCATTTCAATTCCCAATTTTATAAAGCTGTTAAATAAACTTTATAATGAATTAGGTGAATAAAAAACATCATTTGATTTATAGTTATAACGGAAAATCATTGTTTGTAAAGTGGAAGGCAGAGAGTCTATGTGAAATGATCATTGGTCAATTATGAAACCATCCTATTTCATAATTTGGTTTTCTTTTAACATTAATTTTAGATTTTCTATAAAATGATATTCCAGGACCCTAGGTTATATAGCATAAATATGTGAAGTACACCTGCAGTATGGAAACAGTACAACAAAATGGCCGTGTTACACTTTTTTCTAGTAAATTCCCCTCTAATATATATTCTTTTCTCTTTGATTAAATGGCATCTAGTGTTGTTTATCGTTTCGATTCGTTTCAGGCAACTATTGAGAATTTGTTCGCAGGGTCAGAATTTGGCATGGTGCAGGGAAAAATTTTTTTATCATAAAATAGTTTAAGAAAACAAACTTTAACTGAATATAGTTTTGAATTGTGAAAAGTTAATTTAAAGGGACTGTGAAGGAAAACTGAAAGGGGGTATAGGCTGAAACCTGAGAATCTCAGGAGTTCAATGATACCTTAAAGACAACTATCTGATGTTACACGTATATATGAAATCTATACGTCCGTATAACGTGACCAGAACTCCCTCCAAAGGCAGTGCAGTGCACTGGTCATGTGATACAGACGGAAAGACGATACAATAATACTGCACTGCCATTGGTTGGAGTTGTGGTGACAAGTTCCGGACGCATAAATATTATCAATAGCTAGCTGAAAGGCCGCTGGTGGCCCGTGAAAAAAAATATTTTATTTTTTATATTAATTTCTCGAGAAAAGATGTCTTATAGGTATCATTCAACTCCTATGATTCTCAGGTTTTATCCTAAACCACCTTTCATTTTTCCTTTTCAGACCTAATAAAAACGAACCAAAACGATTAACAACGCCACCGACAACTTCTAAAGATTAAAAATCAGACAAAAAATCCTAAACCGTTGTGTTGTACCTTTTTATTACAACTGACAATAAAAAATCAGGGGTTAGATGAAAGATCCCCAAAAATTAATTATGTTAAAAATGCTTATTTTCCTAATCGCCATTTTCCAAAGTTCCCTAGATCTGATGGCTGTTCTGATCTCACTAATCCTGACTTCCTTCTTTACGTTGACCGCCATCTTTCCTCCCTTCTCCCTCAACCTCTCCCCCTTCTCCTTAGCACTGTTCAGCAATCCTTCTCAACAGTTAACTTCATTTTATGATTCAATTATAAAAAATATAAATTTTTTATTATGTTAAATTGACCTGATAGATAATCCGATATTTATGTTCTAAATTACGAAAAAAAACTTTTAAAGTTTAAAAAAGGAAAGATAGAAGATTCAAATGGGAAACCAAAAATTATATTTCATAAGTAAAAGCTTTTGAATAATTACTTATTTCAAAAAAATAAACTGTTTGATAATCGAACATTTTAAATTTTGATTACGAATCAAAAATGGCAAATACACAAAATAAGGAAAAAAAAATAAAAAAAATAAATGAGAAACATAAATGTGATATTAAAAGTAATTCTTTAAAATTAGAAAATAATAAATGTTTTGTGGCGACAATTTTGGGCTATTTTATAAACTTTTTACATGAAGTAGTAAACGGTTCCTTTTGTCATAATCGCGGGGAGTTTATTGAGGTGTCAAGGTGTTTGTCTAGTAGTGTCTGGGTGTTAATAAACCAAGGGTCGAGGTGTCTGCTCAACCTAAGGTTGAGTTTGTTGGTGTCAAAAGCTTGTTCTCTTCCCCTCACATTCTTATCTGGAATAATTAAAAATAAAAGATTTAAATATTTTAGTTGATTTCCATATCTTCACTGGGTGACTCATTCTCCTTGCAATTATCACTATTTTCCTTCTCATGTTTTTTCTTTTTCTCCTCTTTTCTGACAGTAGATACCTCCTCATTTTCCTCCTTCTTCTCTTCAGTTTCTTCTTTCTTTGCTTTATCTGTATCCTCTTCCCCTTGGAGGAATTTCTCCCATTGCGCCAATCTTTCTTTTTCCTCCTCCTCCGTCTCGTTCTTCTTATATCTAGAATGACAATGAATTCTTTTAGATTTCGCGGAACCGGGTTGTATATTTTTCAGAATTTTTTCGGGGAAATCAAAAAACTGAAAAATTGGAAAAAAAATTTTATTTATTCTTTTGGATACTTTTACTCAAAAGTTCATTTATTTTCCCCGAAGTCATTAATTTTCCCAAATTCAGCGAGTAAAACCTTGAAAAAAACACATTTATCTAATGGAAAAAAACAAATTTCAAAGGGGAGGGGGAAGAAAAATGATTTTCGAGAAAATTTACACCCCTGTCGCGAAAACTTCCGAGTTTTTTACCTCTTCATTAATATACTTCTCATTGGAATAACCTAAAAAACGGTGAATTTTTAAAGTTCTTACTTAGTTCGACCGTCCCAAGTTTGAACGGCCATGATTCTTTTGCCGAATAATCGTCCGTCCAGCATCTGAACGGCCAAATCAGCTTCAGAGGGGTCCTTGAAAAACACTTGACAGATGCCCTCCTCGTGCTACAATAACAAATTATTTCTAAATTATCAAATATGCAATTGTCTTGTCTTTTTCGGTTTCAAAAATACAATACAAAGGGAAAACCAAATAATTAGAGCAAAAACTGATTCTTTTCTTCGAAAGAAAAAAAATGGAAATATTTTACTTATATTCGTTGCATTTTACTCGGAAAAGCAACTTGAAAAAAAATTAGTAGATTTTATCCAGGATATTTTTGATCTTTGAGAAAAGGGAGAATTGTCTTATTGATTTGATTATACAGATCATTTACATGATTTCATTTTAAAACAAATGAAAAATCTGAAAAGTTAAGAGATAGTTTGTTTTCCTTGTCGTAAATACAGACTTTGGTGCATGTTCCAAACTTGGAGCACTGAGATCTAATCCTTGATGTATAATCAATAATTAATCCTGGATCCCTACTGAACTCTGCAGGATCAAACAGGTTTTTGATCACAATTACTTTGTCGTGCTTCGCTCTCTCTCCCTTCATCTTGTCGGGGACCCAGGCGAACAATCTCTCCTTCTGCCTCAGCGCCTTCTCCTTGTCCCGTTTACTGAGTTTTTTTGGTTTCAGTTTCGGATCATATGCGTCTCCTTTCATCTCAAACTTGGCCCTCTCTACGCTCAGTGTGTTTCCCTGAAAACAAATAAAAATTATTTTGGGATATTTAGAGAGAAATCCTGAAATCCATGAATTGTTGGTTGTAGCTTGTAAGAATATCAGAGATTTGGGGTAAGTCAGGTGAAATATAAAAGATTTACACGAAGTATGACAAAAATCTCATGCAAGATTTGTCAAAATGCGGCACATTTTATGATCTGCATTTCTTCACAACGTATACAGGATTTACTAAATGAAGGGGGGAGGGGGGCATGTGATTGTAAGGCCCAGCCCAACCCCCCAACCTCTGTCTAGTATAAATTTATTTATTTTTTGGTCTTACCTTAAAATCAGATCCATCAAGAATAGTGAGTGCTAGTTGGACAGACTCCGGCTTTATGTATGAGCATAGGCCATCTCCCTTTGGTACACCCTTCTCATCCTTATACAGCTTCAACTTGGACTTCTTCGTTCTCACGTCATGCTCGATCATTCCGCACTTTGCCATTAACTCCTCGTACTCCTCGTCCGTGACGGAGCTGGGTAGCCCAGACACGTAAACCTTGGTGCACTTCTTCTCATCCACGTCGAACCATTTAGGGGGCTCAACCTCCTATACATATACATTAAATACAGTAAGAAGTTTACATTTTAATCCTTCTTAAATTCATGGTTTCCAATAATAGAGAGGATATTCAATTCTTGATCCCCTTCCTATAATTTCATAGATTGTTTTATATATACATACAAATAATGTTTCAGTTCTTATGCATTTTTCAGTAACATTTTTCAGCTCTTAAAAAATGTAATAGCATTAACAAAATATTATGAATATTTAAAAAATAAATTCAAAGTCAAGTTACTTTCTATGCTTTTTATAGAATGTGAACTTAAATTGGTTTCGATTTTTCTTTTTAAAAATAAAACATTGTTGAAATGAATTTAAGCCTGTACCTTTTTCTGTCCTTTCTGGAGTTTAGGTTTAGGTGGAGGGGGAGGTGGTTTCTCCACTACTGGTTCAGGTACTGTAGGTTTGGATTGAAGATCACTAAACAAAAAAGAATTTAAAATTCAAAATCTACTAAGATGTTTCTTTTCTTATCAGTTTTGAAGATTACGCCACGGGAGAACTTTTTTGAAAAAGGGTTCAGTTCCATTTTAAATTCTTCTAATTGTTTAGATTTTTCTTTTTGGTTGGTTTGTTTGTGTGCATCCCGTAAATGTTAAAAAGGTCCAAACTTAATGACCAAAGCAAAGGTTAAGGTTTAAATTGATAGACTCAAAATAAAATATTTCTACAAAAAAAAATTAATTCGGGAATCCGCAATGATCATAAGGAAATCTGAAAAATTGATTAGTTTTTTTTTTTAGATGTTGTTAGAATGGGACAACTCTTAAATTCAGCATTATTACTAGAAAAAAAGGAACGTGACGTCCCCTAAAAAAGCCTAAAAATCTTGGTACCCCTGTTTTGAAATAGAAAAAAAGAGTTAAGGATAAATTTTATAGCTTATCTCTGATTTCTTTTCCTGGAAATCAGTAAATATGATTTCAGGGGTGTAAAATTTTAAGAACTACAACCTCCTTCCCCCCCGCCCCTGGGGGGGGCATAAAAGAAATGTTGTACTTCATGCAAACATAGCTAACTTCTGGGGGTGAAACGATTTTTCAAGAAACTGAACTTTCTGCCATTTCATCCTGACTTCAGGGAACACTTACTTGGTAAACCCGTAGTTGAGTTGATATGCTGCCATGAACTCCTCTCCTAGCTGAGGAAACCAGGCCTTCTTATCCTCATCCCACTCATAGGTTAATCCGTCCTGGGGGTCCTTATATACTGTCTTACCAGTCTCAGGATCCTGGACACACAACTGTTATCAGTTTTTGAAATTTTATTTCAATTATTTCAGAATTTTTACAAACAATGCGATTAAATTTGCATAAATTATCCACTGTATTAATGGCCGTTTTATAAATTATGCAATTATGGTGAAGAAACAACATCATAAACACAACCACCAAATAAAATAAAACCTACACCATTGTGATATATTTAAAGGAGTAGTGTTCAGAAATTTTTGTGTGATAGTAATATCATTCTACCATGAACATTTGACATGCATTCATCAAAATCACAAACCAACAAAGATAAATACTTGTTATCTATTATTAAGGTATTGAAAAGGACAAAAAATGTAATAAAAATTCTACAGTAAACTAATAAATTGTTGAGGAACAGGTAGAGAAAATGAAAATTAACTCTGGTCATCGAAAATAAGTTATCTTATTCAGTTATTAGTTTATATAATCTCTCATTGTTGACAAACATTTTCTGTAGACTTTCTGGAATTTTTATTTGAAAAAACGACATGAATTTGTAGATATCTGCGAACATACTCGTGAATAAGAAATTCAATATAATAATGAAAAATTAATAATTGATTCTAACATTGATTTATTGTAAAATTTCTATAGGGAAATATGTTCCTAAACATCTAATTAGTTTACTGTAGAATTTTTTTTTACATTTTTCGTCTTCGTTATTTTATAATTTAAAAAAATCTATTCTCAAAACGTAACCACCCAAATGGATGATTTTAAACGTCAACTTTGCGCTCAAACTCAGTAATTATACATTTAAATGTCTCAAATGAATCCTAATTTTTTCCCCCCACAATGCTACATTCTCAGTTCAACTACCATACATTGCCGGTCACTCCCTTTTTAACAAGTGAACATTCCCAGAAAATATAAGAAAATCTTGTAAAACATTTTTCTCAATCGAACTTGACTAATGTATTGTATAAGATTCATTATTAATTTACGCAGTAGAAAAAAACTCGTATTGACATTAAAATACCACATGTGCCACAGCAGATATATAATTAGATGAGTTAATTGTGCCTTTTTTAGAGTTTATAATTATAAAATTTTCCGTTAATTAGATAAATCAAAAAATTTCAATGACATCTTCAACTTAAAAGGTAGAAATAATTCTAGATTCCGTCCAACTATCAAACAAAAAATGAGAAATTATTGAAACATATTTCTCAGATTAGTTCCTAGCAAAGTGTCATATATATACATCACAAAACAATTCTTTAATTCCATTTGTATCTTTATTAATACCTTTTCATATTTCTTTGCTTCCCAACCTGGAGCTGCTTTCCGTTTCCGGTATTGCCGGGCTTTCCTTTCCTCTTCCGTTGTATTGTCGTCTTCTTCCGACTCGTCGGAATCCTGCACGAAAGAAAACATTACAGTCAGAGGTCGGAAATTTTAAATTTTTTTCTTTCTCATCGATTCAGAAAGCATTGATCCGTATCGTTCGTTCCTCGGATTAACTTCTTTGTTTTGGATATCCTGTTGCCGAATTTAAAGAATTTGAGTGGCGGTTTAAATTTAAGCCGCGGCTTAAATATGGTTGATTCCACTTAAAATTGTATCAAATGTTTAAAAGATTTAAGCCGGCGCTTAATTTAAACCGGGTTTTGGCAGATTGGGGATTGGCTCAAATTCTTTAAATTCCATCTCTGTTGCTCTAAAAGTTGAAGTATTACACAAGGCAACACAAAACATTTGGAAAAAAATCACCTGAATTTCGATCCGCATCAAAATGGAAGAACTTTATTCTTCAAAATTATATATATTTTTATTCTATTTGGTTAATATGATACCTGTTGTTTATCCCACTGGTTTGCATCTTTATTCCATTTATGTTTAACTCCTGATGAATCCCGGTAAACGTAAGTATCACCATCCAACTCATAATCAGCACTGGAAATAATATTTATGTATACAGTAAGAACCAGAAAATTCTGGAATACGAAGTCGACTTTTAAACTCAAATTATGACTTTAAATAGTCCAATGAACATGAGACACAGAAAATGCGCAGTGTGAACAGACCCATTTCACTTAAGTTATCTTAAATTGTACATGTATCAAGGGCGTACGCAGCGGGGGGGGGGGGGGCAGTGTCCCCTTAGCCCTTAGAGCTATAACACTATTTAATTTTAAACTGATGAGTGAAGAGCATAAAAAAATTAGTTTGCTGGTTTTTTCTGCTAGTTTTGTTTAAAGGAGAGATAATGTAGTACTTGCAAGGTAATTGGACAGTATGTGTACCTTTAAAGTATCTAAGACTAAGAACTGGATTCCATTTTTGAAAGCTTAAGGATGTAGAAGTTTTTTTGTTGAAACACTCGTTAATAAATCAAAGACGATCTTTATTTCGTCACTTTATTCTCATGTTTATTGAAACACCCTGTGGCCTGTATATTGTCCTGTCCTTCGCAAAGTTTAAAATAAAATATTTTCGCATAGTAAAATAACTGTGTCGATGATATGCACTAAACTGTGTAAGAAAGCTGCACTAACAGGTGTTGGTATTGAATAAAACAATCAATAAATCATTGTTCACAATAGACGGAAATAGGGATATTTTTCGGCGAAATTCCAATTTTATTTTATTGCTAAAAAGGTTCCCCGGCCTGATGAAAATTACTAAACACAGGGAGGGCTGTATATTATCTTGAAAATACACTTCTGAAAATATTTTTTCCCAGAAGTTAGTTATGCTTGCACAAGAAAACTGTTTAGGTTTATTATAGGCTAAATTGGGTAAAATAAATTAATTTTAAAGAAAAAAATGAAAATGAAATGATGTCCAATTTTTCAAATAATCGGGGGGGGGGGGGACCACAAAAAGTGATGAGATAAAAAAAACATCTTTTATATTATTCATACGTACATGCATTGAATCTGCCTTAATTTACTAACAAAATAAAAACAAGAAACTTTTAATGCAGATTTATTATGTTAACCACTGTTAACTCGCAGGCCGTAGCTAGGAGTTTGTAAAAGGGGGGGGGGGCACAAATGTTAGAAATCCAAGATATTGGTAATTTATGAGGCAAAACATTTTTTGGACCTGAAAAACTCAAAAAGGGTCAAAATTAATGACTAAAGAACTAGATTTTTAACTCATCACACAATATAGTTTATTAAAAGAGAGATATTTTGCCTGTCTTGCATTATGTTTTCAAGTGCTATCGAGAAGCTATTTGTTTTAAAACAAAAAAACTGGAGGTATAAGATATAGAGATTTTAGTTAAGTTATAAATAAATTTATTACTAAAAATGTTTAAATCATGAATAGCCAATACTTAGTTTAACACAGGGAAAGTAAAGGATGTAAATGTCTGAAAAGATCCAAGCACGAACATCTTTAGTTTTCCCAAAACTAAAATTCGAAAAAAAACCTCCCCTGCAAACATGAGAACGAGTACAAACAGCTTCTCGTAAACCTAACCATATTTTATACGTAATTTGAATTTGTCTCCATGTTACTTATTGCTGTACGAAGGTTCATTATAATCATTAATCTAATAAAAGAAGGGAAAAGGAAAAGCTTCTTAAAAAACAAAAAATAATAATTCAAATCTTATTTCACAAGACAGGATAAAAATAAAAATTCCCAAATAATTTATTTCAGAAAGGACTCATTTTTTCTTTAATTTGAAGAAAAATGAGTCTTTTAAAACAATCACATTGGTAACAAAACACAGATTTGATGCCAATTTTCTTACTTTTTTTCTTATTTCTTTCATTTTCGTTCCCGTCTTTTCATCTTTTCATCTTATTTTTATGTCTTAGATAGTGTGCCCCCCCCCTGTGCCCCCATTCGGGGAAAAAAAAGAGGGGCATGTGCCTCTGTTCCCCCCCCCCCTAGCTACGGGCATGTTAACCCCTCCTAAACCCCTCTAAGGGTCCTTGAAGTAATCCAAAACTAAATATAAATACCTGTTAACCTGGGGCCCAGGAGGAAGTGCAGCTCCTCCGTCTTCAGTTTTCCAACAGTTTTCATCCTTATCCCACTTGTACCGGACTAAATATATTTATGTAAATCATACATGAGAGCTGAGAACTCTTGAATTGCGGATATTGAGATCAATGCTTGATCTCAATCTGTTGTTGATCTACAGATTAAGTTCATTTTTATTCGATTTCCCATCAAGTGCCAATCAGATTTCTCTGTTTAGATGAAAATACTAATATTTAAAAATTAAATGACGAAGGAAAATCTTCCAAGTGGATTTCTACAGCGGAGACAAGCAGGACATAGCGAGAAAAAAAAATTCCACACTAGTTTGTCAGACCATCAGATAATATTAAATGATGGTTGACGGGAGGTGAATTACAAATAAAAAAATGTGAATAGTAAAAATAATTACCATGTGTTTGAGCATCTGTATAGAACGTATCATCTCCCTCGTATTCATAGTTAATCTGAGAACCGGCAGGTTCAGTATCCATAGGATCTTCTGCATTCGTAGAATCCGCACTCAAGGATTTGCTTTCTTTTTCGGGGGATTTGTTTTCAGAGCTACTAGATGATGCATCAATTTCAGCTGTTTTTTCGCTCGATTCAGCTGTTTTATCGCTAGAGTCAGCTGTTTGATCGCTAGAGTCAGCTGTTTTATCACCAGAGTTTATTAAATCTGATGGCTGCTGACCACCTCCGGTAGGACCATACTCAGAAATATCCTCACCTTTAGACGTTATTTTTATTTTAATAGGCATTTTATCTGAAAAAGAAAACAAGCGTTTTTGTGGTTTTAATCGGTTTGTATGAATGACATTTCACAGGATTTTTGTACTATAAAACAGCCCCCCCTCCCCCACACCGAACACAAACTCGTATGTGATCTGAGATTCCACAAAAATTAATTATGTTTTTTACAGATCACATTTTTTAGACCTTGAGATGACTACATTTCATCACATTTTCCAACCAATACGATAGGGTTAGGGGTTTCTTTAATCCGTAATACTATCTCTTCGATGCAACTCCTTCCAGCTTAAGCGGTTGTTTACATGACGTACACTTGGGTTTTGACTCTACGCAGTACTTGTGGAACACAGCGTCACAGTTTCTAAATAAAAATATAATTATGAGGACTTTTTAAAGAAGCCATTAACGATTCATCGTGGTACTCTTTTAGTTTTCACCTCGATATGATCAATTTTGAATTACAATTTGTTATTTTGTATCTTTAAATGAAACTGAGATCGGCTATTTTCATGCTTGAAAAGTAAAGTCTTCAAGTCCGGTACAGCTGTGAATCATTGACAGTCCTCTCTATACGTAATATAACTCAAAACTATCATGGGGTGGTGGAAATACTACCCTTGGATACGTTAGGTCGGAGAGGAGCGCCGACCCCAACCTCATCGAGTGAAGGGTGGTCTTTTAATAATAATAATGGCATGCTTGACTATTCAAAGTGAGCAAAAAATCAATCTAAAATATAAATAATGTTCAATAAAAAAATGGACCTTACTTGTTAGTACACAATACTGAGATCGCAACAGGTTTAGAACAGCTTGTACAACTCTCAATGTTAGTATTCTTCTCCAACCAGACTTCTAGTTCCATCATCAGCCGAGCTCCTAGTCCTATCCTTCCTCCCTGTAATCAGTATTTATATTCCTCCTACTTCTATCCTTCCTCCCTGTAATCAGTATTTATATTCCTCCTAATCCTATCCTTCCTCCCTGTAATCAGTATTTATATTCCTCCTAGTCCTATCCTTCCTCCCTGTAATCAATATTTATATTCCTCCTAGTCCTATCCTTCCTCCCTGTAATCAGTATTTATATTCCTCCTAGCCCTATCCTTCCTCCCTGTAATCAGTATTTATATTCCTCCGAATCCTATCCTTCCTCCCTGTAATCAGTATTTATATCCCTCGTAGTCCTATCCTTCCTCCCTGTAATCAGTATTTATATTCCTCCTAATCCTATCCTTCCTCCCTGTGATCAGTATTTATATATTCCTCCTAGCCCTATCCTTCCTCCCTGTAATGAGTATTTATATTCCTCCTAGTCCTATCCTTCCTCCCTGTAATCAGTATTTATATTCCTCCTAGCCCTATCCTTCCTTCCTGTAATCAGTATTTATATTCCTCCTTCTTCTATCCTTCCTCCCTGTAATCAGTATTTATATTCCTCCTAGCCCTATCCTTCCTTCCTGTAATCAGAATTAATATTCCTCCTACTTCTATCCTTCCTCCCTGTAATCAGTATTTATATTCCTCCTAGTTCTATCCTTCCTCTCTGTAATCAGTATTTATATTCCTCCTAGTCCTCTCCTTCCTCCCTGTAATCAGTATTAATATTCCTCCTAGTCCTATCCTTCCTCCCTGTAATCAGTATTTATATTCCTCCTACTTCTGTCCCAACTTTCAAGCTATGAAACCTTTGAAATCCAACCTTTTGTGCTCTAGTTCCTCGTTTAGTTAGATATCCTTCAGCAATAAACCCCTTAAGAGTTTTGGCAGCTTCTAACTGTGTCAACTTCTTCTTGGATGCATTGTTGCCTCCTGGACCATAAATCAACATAAGAAAAGCAAATAAAAAAATTGTATTTCCAAAGAAAAAAGATCATTACATAAATTTCATTTATAAAAAAGCATGTATGTAGTTCACAATGATCCTTTACACATTAATCTGATTGAGAATGAATGCGATATTCGTATTATTGTTGGTGACACTTATCATTTTTTAATTGTGGTTTCACTAAATAAGTTATTTGCCGATTTATACTGCAGAAACTTAAGGAAATTGTGAGAATTTAGCACTTATCGAGACATTTTTCTCATCGATATGTAGATTAAGATTAAAGGGTACCGATGTTAATCGGACATACCACCCTTTAAAATAGATTCAATTAAAATAACGTGTGCAGTTCTTTTTATGGTCAATATCTAGGAATCTATGAATTAATTCTAACCCTCAGTTTCAAAACTAATTAATTGTTTGAGATTCCTAGCTGTGACATTAATCTAAACAGATTTTCAGCGCCAATATTAAATTAAACAGTTCTCAAGCTCCGACATTAATTTACCTTTGATACACTGATTTATTAGATTAGTCTCTGTATCTGTCTTGTCAGGTCGATCTTCTGCAAAAACAAGGAATACGTCACATTCATGTTTAAGAATGATTAATTGAGTAGGTAAATACAGTTATAGATTTGGTGAGATGAAACATATGTATTTGCTGTATGTATATTCTAGATGTATAAATATTTTTTGTTCCCACATCAAAAAACAAATTATTTCCCATATCTAATATTTATGATACCTTACACATAACTTAATTTTCCCTTTAAAGGGAGTGACCGGCTATGTAAGGTAATTGAACTGAGTATGCAGTGTTGTCGAAAACTTCTTTAGGATTCATTTGAGACATATTTCACTTTTTAAAGATCTGTAAATCCTGAGTTTGAGCGCAAATTCGACGTTCAAAACTCCTGATTTGGGGGTGGATACGCTTTCAGAAATATATTTTTTTTAAATTATTAAATAACGACAACGAAACAAAAGGAAAAATTATACAGTAATCTAATTAGATGGCTAGGAACATATTTCTCAAAAGAAATTTGTCAATGAATCAATTCTAGAATCGATTATTTCGTTTTCATTATTATATTGAATTTCTAATTTTCTTTGAATTTTGAATTTGAATCTTCAAATTCTTTAAATGTCGTCTTTTCAATAATAATTAAAGAAAATCTGCGAACATCTTTGTAAATAACGAGAAACTAGAATAATGAGATAATAGAAACTAATAATTGAACAACATTACTTATTTTCGATGATAAGATTAATTTTTATTTTCTCAAAATGTTCCTAAACATGACGTCTGTAGTTTATTGTAGAAAATTTTTACATTTTATGTCGTCGTTAATTAATAATTTAAAAAAAAACTAATTCTAAAAGCGTATCCACCCCCAAATCAGGAGTTTTGAACGTCGAATTTGAGTTAAACTCAGGATTTACAGACTTTTAAAAAGTGAAATATGTCTCAAATGAATCCTAAAGAAGTTTTCCACAACACTGCGTCCTCAGTTCAACTACCTTACATAGCCGGTTATTCCCTTTAAAGGGAATATAAAAATAAATAAAAAATGAATTATGATTTAATTTATATTTTGATGTAATTATTGTAAAAAAGTTATTGAAAGTAATGATTAAATATTAAATCTAACCAATAAGATGGATACAGATTAACTTAAGGAGCTCCAACTCTGGTTCCGTCATATTCTTCTGAAGCTTGGCTATTTGCTAAACAAAGTACAAAAGATTAGACTGTAGAGACGACTGTACAAAATATTTCCTTATTTTCATGATTTTCTGCAACTGTAAATTTTTTTTTCTTTGTCAAATCATTTAGGAACCCATAAAAACTTAATTAAACCGCGTGATCGACATATTTTTAGAGTTTCAGGTCTTTGCTTCAAACAAAAATGTCCTAAATCTTTTAAACCTGATGGTGTAAAACTTAACTAATTTAAACTCAGTCTATTTAATCTAATTTTATCTAACATAATGCATGGTTTGAAATATATAAGATGTACCTCACTGGGTTGTAAAGATATAAGGATTAGACTAGAAAATCAATGTTTGTGGCAAAGACTCAGTTTCTTTAGTGAGGAAGTATGAATAAAAACATCTGACTGCCCCGCCTTGTTCTTTAAATAAAAAAGATGAATTCCAACCTCATTCTCTTCTGTAGGGACCAGGGTGTAGTATTGCACGTACTGTGAATCCGTCTTTGTTTCCTCAAAACCTAAAACATATTTAATTCATTGTCGCCATTTTTATATTTTCTTTAATAGGCAGAGATGTACTATATGAATGAAAGTAGCAATTAAAATATCTAAGGTTTACAACATCAGGTTGCAAAGATGTGTGGATAAGAAACAGATTTCGATTGAAACAGAGCACTATTAGAACTGGCAAGAACATACCTTTCTTGATTTGGAATTGTATTTTCTCTAGAGAATAGTTTGCAACAGTGTACAATTCTTCTATCAGTTCAGCTATATCCTGGCTAAAAGTTAAAAATAATTTTTTCATAAAATTAACGATTAAAATCTAAAATTAACGAATAGGATAATTTTACCTCTGAGTGAAACTAAATTAGTTAAAAAAAAGGGACTTATTCCGTTCTGAGGCTGGATTTAATGAACAATGAGAAGTGGTTAATCTCGGTAAGGAAAATATATAGCATGGTTAGTTGTAATATTTAATTCATGCTAAAGACATAATTTGACTAACCATACATAGTTCCCCTTTTATCACATTCATTAAGTCCGGCCCCTCCAGATTAAGAGAAATTGAAAAATAGTTTGAACAGATATTTCAATATAAGTTAATTATTTCTTACTTTACTTCCTTCGGACTAGCAGATAGGTTTATCTTAGGGAAACCAGGCCTCCCTTTAAACTCCTCACAGATATCACGAACTGAAAGGTATTGTTTAGTTCTTTCAAAATAGATTTGATTACAGTGCTTTTAGGATCCACTTCATTTTGACGAGAATACGGATCCTGAATCCGCACTGGGAAAATATGGATCCGGATCCAGGCCATGAACATTTCTCTAAGATTTACTGATTTTTTTTAACAAAGCAGCCGTGTCAAATTTTTTTTCTTTTTTTCCGCTTATTTTTATTAATCAATGATCCGGAAATTTTTATAATATCTCTTTTTTAAACAGTTTAGATTTGGGGTTTGAGAGTAACAATGTTTTTGTTTTGCAGTTTTTGGTTGATAGTGTTGCCCCTTGGATCCGGATCCAGGAAGCCAAAATCTTGTGGATCCTAAGCACTGCTTGAATTCTTTTTAATGTGAAAGAGAGTTTAAAACTTGAGAAGGAAAAGTTACAACTTAAATGCCGCTCGTGAATCAAATTGAACCTTAACTTGAATCTATTTCTTAAACATTTAACCACGGGAAAAACTGTTTCTCATTATTTCAATATTATCTGCAAACTGTTGCGGGAGTTGCTGGGTTAGCGTATTCATATTATTCATTTTTATGATGTGATACGCGTGATTGTGATTAAATTCAATTTAATCCTGAATTCATTATTTTACAAAACATTTCAGTTTTAACTTAAAACTCGCAAATACTTTAGTTTTGGACTCAGACCTAGACTTTAACTATAGTTTAACTAAGGAAAAAATATTTTATGGTACGTTTTATAATATTCAAAGATTTTTAGGGCTTTCATAAGGCACCTAAATAATATGAAAATTAACATGATTTGTAGAGATTTACTTTAACTATGCAAAATTTATGACACAAATTATAATGATTTCAAACCCTGTATTTTTTTAACACTATAAGCGGGTGAAGTGTAAACTGAATGTACATTAGACGTTAATATAATTTGCATACCTAGGCTGAATACCTCTGAACCGGTCATAATCCCCCTGGACATAATTGCCTGGACGAATATTCTATGCCAGTCATACATCTTGTTCTGACGTTCACGAGACATATTGTCAGATTCGTCTGAAATATGTGGAGAAATGTTTAAAGATTAATAATATTTGAGCCCAAACCGGACACTGTCCTCTGATTTAACATTGACCTTTTCTATCATGAAGACTCGTGATGATGCGTTAAATTCCCCCTACAAATTAATGAAAGAATTTTGATCATTTTAATGTCTTGACTCTGACATAGCTGGGGTGGGAAAAGATTTAACCCCATTTCTAATTTTATTTATCTTCCTGAAATATCTTGATTTTGACTAATTAAATGGTGCCTCACGGTCAATATGATTTTCTTCCATCCTAGAAGACGATTTTTGAAACGACCGCCCCCCTTTTATCAATTTTCAGCGTGAACCTCATGGGAGACACAAGGCCAAAGTTGGGTAGCTTCCAAGAGAACAATTTNTATTTAAAGAGAAATGTCTTACTTTTTAAAATTTAGTTGATAATTTTAACATTTTATTCCCGCCACCGTTTAAAATTAGCAAAATATACAAAATGCAAAAAATTAAAGATTTCCAACTTTAAAATTGAATGCCAACATAAAAAGGCGATTTATTTAATTTAGTATTTTTGAAATTCTTTTTGGCATTGATATATTATTAGAAGTTATAATTATTAAAATGGTTATTGGTCTTATGAGAAATCATCCATAAAATATTCCAAAAATATTAATAAAATTTAATAGAATTATTAAATGCTTTTAATTTTCTGAACTATTAAGTTCTCTGCATGGTTTTCTGGTCTCTGTTTACCCTGGGTAAGTCAGAAAACACAGGGTGGACCCAGTGTTTTCATTTCTTGACACTGGTGTAAATCTACCCAGTGTAAACTGTACGTTGTTGTTGTTTGAACCAGTGTAATTCATGACTATTAAATCCGATCCTAGGTAAACACCAGTGTAAATGACAGTTTACACTGGTGTAAATCCTTTATTAGAACGGCCTATGGAGAGAATAAAATGCCAATTTAAAAGACGATGATAAGAAGAGCCCTAGAATACTTGTAAGGATAATTTTTTTTAAAAAATTTACAATTCAATCACAAAATATGAAATTTATTTTCTTTGTCATTAATTAAATAAAAAAAAAGGGAGAAAAAAGTCTAGGTTAGTATGATGGTTTTAGAAGAAAGTTCAGGGCCCACACCTGTAACGTGCACGAAAGTGCCGCGTTCAAAATACGCAAATCATAAATGGTACAATTTAATCCAAAATCCTATCTACAATTATTTCAAGTATTTTTCCAGATACCAAGCGTTTTATATAGATCTGCTAAAAAAGAAGACATTGTAGTGAAGCTCATAAAATTTTGAATTACAAAAAATCATCAGTTATATTAATTGAACAACTGATAATATGATAACAATCCATTTTAACTCAATTTTCCTACTAGTCAACTCGTAGGGGTCCGTCCGTCCGTTTTGAGGGTCCGTCCTAGCGAACGATTTTTGAACCTAATTGGAATTAATACGATCAAAAGGGAAACCCTCACTCGTATCGGATGATTTCTTCAATTTCACGGTTAATGGTAATTTTTCCTATAGAACGAATTTTGGACCCCCGCCCCCCCCCCTCTTATCATTTTTTACATGGATTGCACATGTAACACATGGACATAATTGGTCATGTGGCCGCAGCGCCCGGCCTTCTACCATGTCCAACCCGCGGCGCTCGGTCCTCTAGCCTGTCCTTGCCGCAGTGCTCGGCCCTATTGCCTGACCTTGACGCAGCGCTCGGCCCTGAAATCGTCTGAACCTAACCTAACCCTTAAAAAAATAAAATAAGAAATAAAAACTATTTTGCTTATAATCAAGAGGTCATGCTTAAAATTGATAGGAGGGTGGGGGTTCCAAAAATAGTTTACCAGGACGGACCCCGTTTTTTTGTAAGTCGTGAACTTTCAGCCTTTAGCCTATAAAAATGCGTCATAACAAGTTTGGGTCCGTCCTAGTATACGATTTTTGGACCCCCCCCCCCCCCCCTCCTATCAATTTTGTACATGAATCTCATATGTAACATATGGATATAATTGGTCTTGTGGCCGCAGCCCAGAGCCCCCTAGCCTGTCCTAGCCTTGGCGCTCGGCCCCCTAGCCAGTCCTAGCCACAGCGCTCCTCTTCTGGCCGTGACGTTCAGCTCAATAGCCTGATAACAACCTATTCTAACCAAACCATATAGTTGAGTAAAATAAACGTTTTTAGTTTGTAATGAAAATGTCATGTACATTGGGTCTGTCCAAGAGAACGATTTTTGGACCCCCCCCCTAAGACACTTCCTGTCGGACCCATGTACAAAATTGATAGGTGGGGGGGCTCCAAAAATCGTTCTCTAGGAAATTTCCACAAGTTTCCTTAGAAGTTCTAACTTTTAACTATATTTTCATATTTCAGAGAGACTCCAATCTCAGATCAATATGGATGATCAGCAACAGTTCTGTCTTCGTTGGAACGATTTCCAGACCAACATGGTCGCTTCGTTCAAACATCTGAGGGACGAAAAGTCCTTCACTGACGTGACGATTGCATGTGACGGTCAAAGCACCAAGGCTCATAAGATGATTCTCTCAGCTTGTAGTCCTTACTTTAAGGTTATAATAATGTTAGACGCATTCTAATTTACATATAGATGGACTTATGGTAATAAAGCATACCTGGGAACTCTCAATATGGATATCAAGATCTCCTTGATCTCGATCTTTTGTTAATCTGCAGATTTATCTAATCTGTATTCAAAATCTGTAATGCAATTATGATACATCTAATTTTGATGCGGATCCGGATCTTGGATCCGCACTGGAAAAATATGGATCCGGATCCAGGTTTTCTCCATAAAATTATTGAATTTTTTAACAAAGCAGATTTTTCAAAAATTTCGTCTTATTTTTTTCGTTTATTTTTGTGCTAACTTTATAAACCATTCAGAAATCAGGAAATTTTTATAATCTTTTTTTTCAATAGTTCAGATTTGGGGTTTGAGAGTAAATTTTTTTGCAGCTTTTTATTGATATTTTCCCCAGAGATCCGTATCCGTAGATCCGCATTTTTTTGCGGGTCCGGATCCAGGAAGCCAAAATCTTGCGGATCCAACGGATCCTAAGAACTGCTGAAGGGATAACCTAAAATCTAAATCCAGCACAGATAATCAAGTTAAGAGTGCACACTGGATAATAGGATAAAGCGATCGCGATTATGAGTATCCTACACCGAAATTCCCAGCGATTCGGTAGATCGGATAAAGCCACTTTTTTATTGAGATTTTATAAAGCTGATACTTTATTCAGTTTTTAGTGTAGCCTCTCACCTCTTGAAGTCTGATCATCTTAAACATTAGACATTACAAAGTATTAATTAATTTCATGTGATCTACATAGATTCAGAGGTCTTATCTTGATTTACAAAGACTGACAGGGGGAAGTAAATGTAAAACTTAGGCCAAAATAAAAGAATTTTAGGGTAAACGTTGGTGTAATTATTCAGAAATTTGTCGTCAATTTTGCGGAATTTTTTTTAAATCATACCTAGCTTTGTGGAATTAACACGGAAATTTTTTAGGCCTTACTGGAAGAGAACCCTGCCAAACATCCTATCATCATCCTTAAAGATGTTCCATTCCTTCATCTTACAGCTATACTGGAGTTCATGTACGCAGGAGAGGTTAATGTCGCTCAGGTATGTACAATGTAACAACTGTACACAGGTAGGGTAATGTACACGCTAGTTGGAACCAAATTGTTTTAAGTCTGTTAATAGGTTATTTATAGATTGTTTATAGCTTTATAGGCTATTTATAGATAAAATTAAACGTAATCAATAATTTGTTTGATTCATGTTTAATATCTTAATTAACTTAACTGGGGTCTTTTTCGCATTACATTTCTTTGAATGTTTTAAAATTTCTTAAAATTTCTGTAGATTTTCGATATAATGTAATAATTTAATGATTCCAGGACCAACTACCTGCCTTCCTCAAGACAGCGGAGAGGTTGAAGGTAAAGGGACTGGCTGAGGCCCCGCAGAACGTGAAGAACGAGTAGTTCGACCCGGATTATCAATCAAGAACGTATGGAGGTCCTCCAGATGTTCGAATCCGAGTTCAACCACTCTGGATTGTTCGAATCTGATCACTTCGGATTGTTTTTAGACTCTGACCACTTCGGATAGATCGAATCCTGATCAGTCCGGATTTTTCGATCCTTTCCACTTTGGATTTTTTCGATCCTGACCACTCCGGATTGTTCGATCTTAACCACTTGGATTTTTCGAATTTTACCTACCGTACATTTTCAGTATTAAAGTGCAATCATTGCTTTTAGACTGCAGTACATACTTGTTGTGACTTGTGTTATTTACATGTACATTGTTTATGTACATGCTGCACGCCTGCTTTACGTAATATTGATCATAAAGCACTCGAAAGAAATGTTCAAACTGACGAAAATATTAGAAATAAATTGACCAAAATTAACAAAAAAAGAAACATTTTTATTTACTCTAAAAAGTCTTCACATTTAAACATGCTATTGATATACTACACTCACTTTTCTAAATACAACATTTGTTCAATCTGACATGAATATATTTATTTTTCAATTTCCAATAAAAATATTTTGTGGTGTGTAGTAGATAGAATGTCTTGTATGGTGTCTTTAAGCTGTCTATTCTGCAAGGAAGAAATAACATATTCATCGCCAGCTGCTATTCGATACGAGGTAAGAAATGGGAAATATATTTTGGTAAAAAGAATCCCCCCCCCCCTCCCTGGTAGAATTTAACCTGAAAGTTTTCTTTTATAAATTGTCAAAACAAATCTCTCCATATTTTTTCGAAATAGAATATATTTCCAAATGTTTACTTTTCCTGCACAAATACATGTTATAGTGGTTAAACATAATGCTTGCTAGAAAAAAATCAGCATAAGTGTAAACGGACACTTTAAAAAACATTTTTATAACGTTCCCGTTTGTTCAATCCCCGTTCTTCTCTAAAAAAAAAAACTTATTTTTTTCTGATTTTTGCAGAATCATCTTGTGAGTGAGCACAGGATCTTAACCTTCCCTTTAGAGAAAATAATTCTTCTCACACTGAAACTACAGAACCAGGAACAGTATAACAGGTTCGTTCAAAATGGGCACCGTGTTGACGTCCGTTTTGAGACATTTTGGGGTTCTGCGACATTTAGGGGTTTTGCGACATTTAGGGGTTTTGAGACATTTAGGGGTTTTGAGACATTTAGGTTTTGCGACATTTAGGGGTTGTGAGACATTTAGGGGTTGTGAGACATTTAGGGGTTTTGTGACATTTAGGGGTATTTTACGTTTAAAGTGCTCAACATAAATGTGAGTTATATATCACATTGCAGAATTGTATTCTCGATAACTTTGCGTTTATAACATTAAGGAATTTTTTTTCTCTGATCAAAGATACTAACCAAAACGATTTTTAAAAACGAAAAACAAATTTTCCAATCGTTTTATAAACTTCGTTTTTAAAACGATTTGCATAGCAATGTACCTGCAGAAAAACAACTTCCTCTGAAATTTTTGTAAACGTATTTTGGAGCTTATCCAACATGGGACACTGTGATATAAAGGTTATACACTATATGTGTCTACTTAAGGTTACGAAGTGATGAAATTAAAGATGTTGAAACACAAACGGAAGATTTATTAATCGCAGATAAATGTTTGCAGGTAAAATTTTATTCTTTAACTTCAGTCTCGATTTGTCAGTCCTCGAACCTAAAAAAAACCTCTACAATATCAAAAATCATATTTTGTTGTTAGCTTGGCATTTTAACTTTTATTCTGTAGGCTGCCTTTATATCAGCCTTATGATAAAGACAAAACTGTGCGAAAAATATTTTATCAAAATGTAAAACAAAAATTTATTAAATAATGATTAGTTTCTCCTCCTAATAAGCTAATTTCCCCAAATGTTTGGATTCAGCCAAAAAAAACATCTTATATTTTCCTGGATAAGTTTTTTCTAGTTATTTAAACAAATTACTTGAATATACGAAAATACAATCCAGCAGATATTCTCTAAATTAATTGACTGCGTGACGCGTTGGCTTATTTAAAACTTTTATTTCATTCTTCTAATTTTGTCTGGGCTAAATATTTTTTAGACAAGCATGAATTTGTTTCTTTATTTCAAGTTTGAATTTAAAACCTACTATTCTTGCAAAGATTGCAATGCCCTATTCACAACGGTGCAAAGCTTTGTTTGAATTTGATATCTATCTTTGTAATTTGGAAAACTGATTATTTTCAATAGTGGGTTCTCTTCAAAAGTAACTTGCGGATTTCTACTACAAGAAATCAAATGGGAATTGTCACAATTAAATACTTTTTAGCCTCGAAAAATGACAATATCTTCCACATTATTGTTCAGATAAAAATTTCAAGTCCTTTTAATAATAATAAATTTATCAGGTGGATGTTGTATATATTCCTCCCTACCCTGAGCCTGACAAGAAACCAATTCATCTTCTCAACCTAGAGTCCTGGGAGGATAAACCAGAACCTCCGCTTCTTAATAAATCAGATTTCTATTCAGTGAGTCAATCTTCTATCTTCTTAAAGGGAGTGTTCGCGAAAAATGAAAGGGGGTATAGGCTTAATGCGATAAAAAGTGCTTATGATCGCTACTAATCTTTTATCTGTTGCGTCTATAAGGAGAAAATTGTTAAAAACGACTAATACCGAAGAACGTAGTGTCCATACAAATTCAGAAAGATGCAACATTCAACTCGGATCGTAAACAATCAATTTAATTCCAAACAAATCATTCAGATATTACAAGAAATAGTCATCGATTATTTTTTGACGCATTCGTAAATAGTTGATATTTCATAATATTTTGTATTTTTCATGACCTGAGAATTACTTTTCGAGGATTTTTAATAATGAAGACGACATTTTCATACTTTCCAGGAATGTTCGAAAATCCAGCGCCAGCGAAAATTATTTAAAAAAAAAAAATCAAAAATATTATGTAATATTAACTATATTCGAATGCGTCGAAAAATAATCGATGACGACTGTTTGTAATATCTGAATGATTTGTTTGGATTAAATTGATTTGTTTACGATCCGAGTTGAATGTCGCATCTTTCTGAATTTGTATGGACACTAAGTTCTTCGGTATTAGTCGTTTTTAACAATTTTTTCTTATGGACGCAACAGATAAAAGTAAGATTAGTAGCGATCAAAAGCGCTTTTTTATCGCATCAAGCCTATACCCCTTTTCATTTTTGCGAACACTCCCTTTAAATCCTTTTTTTTAAGTATGTTTGCCTGGAGTGGCAAAAAAATGTTGAGTTTAGTTCGCTTAATATGGGAGAATAGTATCAAACAGGGATGAAAAAACTTTGTTCATTTGACCCCCTCCCCCCCAGATCAACAAAATTCTTTAAAATATAATCCTCCGAATAATTTACAGTACTGGATTCATACTGGCGCAGATTTGCACTGAACAAAAAAAACATTACGTATAAAAATGCTTGAACTACAAAGATTTCATAATTATTTGTTAGATTAAAAAATTTCCGGAATTTTTTAATTTTTTTCGTGCTGTTCAATTTCACTATATTACCCAGCGAAAGAAAAAATCCAAGTTGTTAATGTTAAATATTCTTGATTTAATTCCAAATAAGTTTCTAGAGCAAGGGAAGAGACTGAGTTCTTATGATGCAGAAGAGAGAAAGATCAGTGTAAACGGTCCGGACCAACCAAGTGTTTGTAAAGAAACCTATGGACGGTTGAGTAGAACCTCTTTCAGTTCCGAGGACTGCCAGTGTATTTCAGATCTAGACAAATCTGAAAACTTCTCTGTTTCAAGTTCTAAAAGATCTCTGAGCTGTACTAGTGAGGACGAGCGGAGCAGCAGTCAAGGACGAAAGAGAAGTCGAGCGGAGAAGATTTGTCCTAAATGTGGATCTGTATTTGATCAGATCTTTGACTTTCAAAGTCATCAAATCCTTTGCTACAATAAACACAGGTTAGAGAACAGTAACAACTGTACTAATTATCAGTAAATAAAACTTAAGGGTTTCTGAAATTATTGTTTTAGATCTTCCAGTAAACCAAGTAAGCCAAGTCAGTCTTACAGTCTTCAAAACACTTCGCTTAATACAAATCCGGGAAATCCTGCTCTTCCTTCAAGTTCGAATAACCTTGATTGTGAACCAAGGTCGGGGAAACCTGTGTCTAAACCAAGTTCTGGGAAACCGAACCAAAACTCGGGAACCTTAAATGTAGAATATTGTCTCGAGGATCTGGGGTCTAAACCAGTATCCAAGCCTATCCCGGATACTTCCACCTACGTTCTAGCTGATCGATGTAAATTCCTGTGTAAACTATGCGGAAATGAATCCAGTAAATGGTATAGAAGCAGTCATCTCCAGGAGAAACATCAAACCACACTAGAAGATTACATCTCTAAGTTCGGAGAAACATCCGATAATAAGATTCATGAATGTTTAGTTTGTGGGAGTAGAATGTATTGGATGAGAGGAACAATCAGACGACACGTCAAGAAAATTCATAACATGCTCATTGAGAACTATGAAGAAAAGTATAAAGAACAGATACTACTTCAGGAAAACGAGGAAGTGCAGGTTTCTTGTGATATTTGTGATAAAACCTATTCTAGTAATTATAATATGAAAAGACACAGAAGAAGAGTTCACAAAAATAAATTAGAAACCAAGAAATTATCTACTCCACAAACGACCCCCGATTTGGAAAATGATGTTGGTGATCAATTATTTCCAGGAAGTTCAGTTTTCAAGAAACACGTGACTGCTTCATGTTCCAATTCAAGTAAAAAAGTAGCAAAAAAGGCATTTCGGTCCGAATGGTACAACAGGTAAGACATGGAGTCTAATTTTCATTAATTGGAAACAACGGTAACATAATTAATAAGTAGATTTTTATTTATAAATTTTTGTTAATTTTTGAACCATTGACAAATTTAAAAATGGCTATTTAAAAAACTGGGATTGGGGGATAAACTAAACTCAACTTGAATCTGTTCCAGGTATGGCTATGAATGCGCAAAGTGCAAAGTGCAGTTCTCCTACAAAGGAAACCTAACTGTTCACATTAAAACTATTCACAAGGTAGGTTAGGAATTCTGGGGTCCAAACATACCCCCACCAGGAGAGAATTTCAAAGATGGGGGGGGGCGTGTAGTGGAAAACCTATCTTCAATTTATTTTCCCCCCCCTTCATTTAATGTGCTTGTTTTTCTTATGAATCATGTTAAACTATTAACAGAAAGTTTTTTTTCCTGCAATCATTCAAGTAAACGAAAGATTATGATTTTTTAAAACAAATAATTATGTTAGTATGATATAAACGTGTTTATTGAATAATTATGTTAGTATGATATAAACGTGTTTATTGCAGATAAGTGTGGATGAATACAATTCTACCTATGGAGAAATGAAGTCCACACACATTTTCATTTGTAAAATCTGTAGCGAAGGAACGGAATAAATTGTGCAAATGCATCAACTTCCCCCCCCCCTTAAAAAAAACGTCACACTTCAGTGCGTCCTTATCATTGGCAACCTTAACAATATTTTGAATATCTGTTGCCTTTTTATCTTATCTGTTGGTAATCCTTTCATCCTTTCCTTGTCACAAAAGGACACTGGGATTAAACCCCCAAATGAATAACTCGATAAAAAATACTTAAGATTGGCAAGTTACTTGAAGTAGAGTCCCTTATTTATAGTTGATGATGCAAATTGCGCAATTTTGACCGCGTATACTCTAGGCATGAGCTGGAGTACTGAACATATAAAAGCACACCTGGACACAAGACACTGTCTCTCTCTGGACAACTACAAGGACATCTACGTAGACACCTCGGACCCGGAACCAGCCTCGGAAAAGGACTACCAAGCCTTAGAGGTTATCACAAAGGAAGCAAGGATCTCTGAAGTAGGTGTGTCTATCCCAGAAATGGTTGATTTGGTCACAAATACTGTTGTAAATAACGCAACAGCTCTCTCTCCGATCAGGCCTGTTTCAGTCTCCATTCCTAGGATGGATAAATCAATTGTAGACCAGCATTTAGAGGTAGAGTTCGAATTTAATTGTACAAGAAGCCGATCATTGTCCTTTTATCTTTGCAACCTGATGTTTAGGAACTTTCTATGTAAACTATAACATCTGATTGACCTAATATTCGAAGCTTAAATGATATCTAGTATGAACCTCATCAGGTCTATAACATAGGGGAATTTCAAATGGAAGTTTGAGCAGAGTTCGGTTCCTTAAAATGTTTTCGACACTTTCGATTAGAAAAAACTACAATTTCTTCACAATTTTGTGAAATATATAAAAACTAGAAGACATATTAAAGGCTTAAATAGGAAAAAATCTCAAATCTATGCTGAAATTTGAGATTTGTACCCTTTAACCCTTCTGATAAAGTTCAAAGTGAAAAACGTGGATATCTTATTTGTTCTGGAAAGCCCTTCAGGGTACCGTGGTCAATCTGTAAAAAGGCACTTGAACTTACGTCTACACTATATTACCTTTTTATGTTCAGGATACGAATACTTCGAAGGATTACTCTAATCTCTCTAAGCAAGATCTAGGAAAATGCCTCAACACCGCCATAGAGAACTGGTTTTCCACCCCCGAACCAAACCCAAGTCGTGAGAACTACGAGGAGCAGGCGGAGCTAAATCGACCATTCCGATGTCCAACCTGTTTATTCCGTGGTTCGGAGAGAGAAGATCTTAAACTTCATATACAAGATCTACACTCAAGGCTTCCTGATGGAGCTTCATGTTGTGGAGCCAAGTTTTTCACAAGGTGGAACATGTTCCTTCATCTTAACTCAACCCATTCAGAGAAGTCGAGTCTATTCTCTCATAACTCATTCTCAACCGAGGAAATTCCATTGCTCCGGGGTTGTGTTAAACCTAAACCCGTCCTTGCTTCCAACCCTAACTTTTATACCAACGAAGAAGCTCTCCGACCAAGTGTGATGCGAAGTCTGGTAAACGGAAGCAACCTAAAGATAAACTTGATTAACCCCGTTTGTACTGAAAACATCAATAGAACGAACCGCATCCCGGACACTGATAACGGGACGATTTATCATAAACCTGAACGAAATTCTCATGTAGATAACAACGATTACAAATCTGATGATATTGAAGATCTTCTTGAGGGAGATTTGAGTGATTCCGACAATATTTTTGAAAGTCAGATATTTTCAACTTCGTCTCCATCTTTGTACGATAGCTACACCGAGGATGTGGCCTATGAGGATAATGACGTGGGCGATCTGGCCAGTCCTCATCAGATCTGGGCCAACGGTTCTACATACGAGTGCAAGGCCTGCGACACCTTCTGTATCCGAGACCAGAAGGAGTTTATAAAACATATCAAGGAGCGACACGGCTTAGCTGGTATAAAAGTATACAGAGCTGAGTTTGGCGATCCTTTGTCCGATCTCCGAACGATTGAGTGTAAGATCTGCGGAGGTCGAATTATTCACGAGTTCTCCAAGATACATTCTCATCTTTACAAGCACCATAAGAAAATGTCCGTCCAGGATTACTATGAGAACCATGTTCTGTATTCAGGAAGGAACGAGAAGGTGAACGGGAAGGATGTTCCGTCTCTAGATCTAGAATCCAATTTCGAGGAAGCTGAAGAGACGGTTAGTGATTACAAAACCTGGAGTAACAAGTGCAGAATGGATTGTAAACACCAAGGTTGCAACTTTACAACCAATCAACATCAAGTTTTCCGTTTACATGTACTCTCCGCACATTGTCAGCTGTTTGAAGAGTACAGTGAAAAGTACAACCTGAGTCCTCCGTGTGGTTGGAGTATTCTGGTTTATATCAAGTGCCAGCTATGTAGTTCCAAGGTTCCGAATAGCCAGGAGATCCTGGACTCCCATATGGTGGAGAGACATGGATTATCTGGGTTGGATTACTTTAATTCATACATTCAGGTGAGACACTGCTCGGCGCTCACATTCATCCTCAAACCAAAAAAATGGGGTTAAATGGACTGTCAGCGTAATTTCAAGTCAACCTCTATTGAAACTTGACAACGTCGAGAATCGGGCATTTCCATGTAGGGACACTTAAAATTACGCTTACAGTCCAGTTAAGTTAATTCTTCTCTTTTTTTCAGGTTTACTGTGTTGTAAAAAAATTATACAACGGTCCAAGACTTGTGGAATATTACATTGTTCTTTCCTATTTGAATTAATCTCTTAAAAATTAAGTTTTTGTTTAAAAAAAAAAATAATGTTTTTGTTATCACTGTTGATGTTTTTTTTCAGAAGGCTGGCATGGAGGTGGTCGATGATCAACTCTCAGACGAAATCATTGATTAAAACTCAAGAAATTTTTACTGTAATCCTTAACTAAACTTTTTTTAATTTCGAGAAATCAAGCATATTAAAACTGCTCAATTAATCGTCTAAATCTCAAGAGCAAAGACTGTATTAAGGGATATTATTTATTGTCAAAAACCTTTTGTGATATTCATGTTTGTTTAGCCCCCTCCCTTAAAAATAAATAGGGGCTTCCTTCAGGGGAAAAAATTATGAATCTTCAGAAATTATGAATCTTCAAAAAATTGCAACTTTTTGAATCTTTTCCGAATGTTAATTTTGGATTCTCAAATATTTAAATTGTCTTAATTTTTAGTCTTCTCACATTTGTAATGAGTTAGATGCTAATATTTTGTTCATTTTGTAAATTATATTTTTATAATTAAAATGTTAATAATATTAAATTTTTCAGAAATAAAAGATAAAATGAAAATCAGACATTTGTCGAAAATTTGATAAATTTCAGGTGAAATGAACTAAGTGATTTTGTATCCTGAAGCAGCTAAACCCCAGGTTAAAGGGATTCCTGTAAAGTTTAAAGGGATTGTATCTCTGAAATTTAGAAATGTGGAACAGTGTAGTGGTAACCTGTCCACATCAACATTGGTGTACACCACTAGAGAATATATTCAGTAAGTTAGCAGGGTGGAGGGACTGAGTTTTTAATTCCTAAAATCTTAGAAAGTTATTAAAATAAATTTGCAACCATTGGCTTAAATAAGGGGTGTTATTAGGGAGTTACTTCCCCCCCCCCCTCCCCCTAGAATCTTGAGGACATGAATTAATAATAAAAAGAATTACTTAATTAACTTTAACAAGGTAACAGATAAAGTTTAACCAAAAATCAAGTTTTTAATCTCTCTTTTAATAAAGGTAAATGAACATTTTTCGAAATGTCTTCTTTAAACAATTAACATATATACTTATATATAATATATGCTCAATGATTGAAATAAATCCAATTGTTTTACAGAATAAATGTACTCAATTTAATAAGTGAATATAGCATAAAGGTGTCCACTAGAGACTTTCCTAATAACACTCTTACTCACCAGTTTTAAATTTACGCTGGTTGATTGGATTTTGACTTAAAACAAATTGCATGAGAAACACTAGCTAGCTCTAAAAGCAGTCTCTTTGCATGTATACAAATATTTTTTCCAGTATTATGCCCTTAAATATGAATTATAATTGGCACAGTAGTTTTTGATTTAGAACCTACCAAAAAGCATTTTCAACCACCCCTCTCTCATGTCCCTAATCTTCTCTATGATGAATATATACTTTGCTTGTCTGTTTGTTTGTATCCAATGAACGTCAAAACAACTGAACCGATCGGGCCCAAATTTTTGTGGGACCTCACGTGACCCAGGGAAGCAGTGGCGGCCATAAGGGGGGTTATTGGGGTTATTTACCCCCCCCCCCAGAATCCTGGGGGTAAATACCCCTCCCTAGAATGCTAGTAACAGTTCCAGTTGCCTTGACCTCCCCTACAGAATCCTTATGTCCGCCCCTGCAGGGAAGGTTTATTTATTATTGAATTTTCAAAAACTTGCTTGTAACAAAACTCGATTTTTGATAATTTTTAAAATCCACTAAATTTATCATAAAATCCGCGAATTTTTTGTTTTACAATGTATTCAAAAAAAATGTTAAAAATTTAAATAGAAGATTGGCGCGAAGCGCCTTAAAAGATAAAATATACGAATCACAACCCTTCAAAGTATTGTCCGATCAATCATGAATTAGATATATAATAATTTATAATTTTGAAAAATATGGAATCATCACAATTTAAGACTTTTAAACCTAGAAAAACGACAACATCTTCCACATCATTGATAAGATAAAGGTTTTAAGGTTACTGTCGCTTTGTCTGTACTATGCAGAGAGGTTCTTTTTAAGATTTTTTGGAATAGTTAGGTTTAGGATTATATTCATTAATCCGTGGGTTCGATCAAAGAGTCTTGTGTGTTGTGAATCTCGGGATAAAGCTTTATTCTCCATCTTATGCGGATTTATGGATAAAGGAATTGAGTCTTTGTAACAAACTCTGATTTTCTAATATCAATATTTTTTCAAACTTAGATTTTTTCATCTAACAGAATTTGAAATATCTAAGGTCTAGGGCATTGGATTACAAAGATATAGAGATTTGAAAATCATAGTTTGTGATAAAGACTCAATTCCTTTGATTCCTGATTGAAATCCCGTAATGGCCATACCCTGCAGGGATAACTAAAATGAAGGGATTAAGTATTGGATCAAAACATTGATAAAGTTCTCACATTGAATATTGAGATTAAGCGTTCAAGATTAAGGATTCTCACATAAAAGTTCCCAGCCCCAGATCAGATATCTCTCAGATAAAAACTTATTAGTATTGATGTTGTTGTTGTAGCTTCATCCTGGGTCAGGATCTTCGAGTTCTTCCAGTCCAAGGAAATTATAGGCTTCTATAGGCATAGGCTGGTAGTGGGAAGGCTGGTTTGATTTGCATGGCAATTAAAAAGGTGGTTTGTATCATGAGGAGTGGTTTCACATTTGGGGCATTTATTTTCAATTTTATCATCTAATCGGTTGAGGTAGGAATTAAGAAGTCTTGAGAAGCCACTCCTGAGTTGGGAGAGTCTTGATCTGGCGATTCTTGTGAGTTTAATTTCATCAGGATTGATTGGAGGAGGGGGGTTATAATCTTGGCCGAGAACGCGATTTTCAGAATATTGTTGAATGGTTTTCCTTACTGTTTCTGTGTGTATGTCTTTGAGGACTCTTTTATAATCTTGTTTGGTTGGCTCTTGTTCTCTGAATCTGTGTGTAACCTCTTCTGTGTAGATGTTCATGGATTTTTGTAGTTTCATTTGACGAGGGGGTTGAGGTCTGTTTAGGTGTTTATTACCAGGGTGATCAGGTAGGTGGGTTGATGCGAGGTATTGTTTAATTATCATTTTGCTGTGTATTTCTAGAGGGAGCACCTTGGTTTCAATGTGTAGGTGGTCTATATTCGTCATGAGTAGAGAACCAGTGGCAATTCTCAAGGCTGAGTTTTGGACTGTCTGAAGATCAGACCACTTTGATTTGCTTATAGCTGGAGCCCATACTGAAGCAGCATATTCCAGGACGCTCCACGTTTCCTTGCTTTGGCCCCATGTGGATCCTGCCAGTGATTTTAATATGTTTATTTTCTTACTTGCTTTTGAGGCTGTTAGTTTGGCGTGCTGGTTGAAGGTGTGCATGGTGTCAAAAGTTACTCCAAGGAGTCTGGGATGTTTTTCTAGAGGAACGAGTAGGTTTTTGATTTTGATCTGGGGATGGATTTTGGCTTCATGGGAGTCTGGAGTTAAGAGAGTGACGGTCGATTTTTCTGGAGAGAGTAATAGTTCTCTTTCTTCCAGAAAGTCTGTTACTTTATTGACATAGTTGCTGATGCTAATTGACATGGAGGTGATGGATTTCCCTGATGAGTAGATGGATATGTCATCAGCATATTGAATTACTTTAATACCTGGAGGGGGGGAAGGCAGATCTTTGAGATAGAAATTGAAGAGGATCGGTGAGATTACCGCTCCTTGAGGAACGCCTGTTCTGACGTTCCTTGATTTTGACTGTTTATTCCTGAAATTAACCTTGGATTGTCTGCCTCTCAGGTAGCAGCTTAACCAGCGTTTAACAAAAGGGGGGAGAGTAGACTTGTTCAGGTCATTGAGGAGTTTGTCATGGGATACCATGTCGAAGGCTTTAGTTAGGTCAATTTGAAGGAGGACAGTTCTGTCAGCAGGTTTTTTCTGATTAAAACCTCTGGTGATGTCTTGATTTAGGTCATTGAGGGCAGAACTTGTAGAGTGGTTTTTCCTGAAACCATGTGGGAAGTTCGGGATAGGAAGGTGTTCTGTGAGTTCAGGTAGGATTAGTCTTTCTAAGATTTTAGCTGCCGGGCATAGAAGTGAAACAGGTCTATAGGATTTGGACTCAGCAGGATCTTTTCCTGGTTAAAGGAGAGGGATGATGATCGAGTTTTTCCATATTTGAGGGATTTTACTGTGCTGAAGTGAGAGGTTGAAAATGTTAGTTAGGTATTCAAGTCCTAGTGGTCCAAGGTGTTTAAGATGAAGGTTGGATATTCCGTCAGGTCCTATTGCTTTGGAGGATTTGGCTTGTTTTATTGCTTCACTTGTATCAGATGCTGTGATTATTGTAGCTCCTGATGTAGTGTTCCTTTGTGATTCTTTGAAGATGGTTCTAGTAAGTTTGAAGCTGGTGTGCCTTGAGACAGATGTGTATTGTTTGTTGAAGTTATTTGCAATATTTGATGCAGTGGACAGGTATTTTCCTTTGAATCTGATTCCTTGGTTCTGTTTGCTTTGTGGTTGTCCATTAAGGCGTTTAAGTAGGTTGAAAAGTTTGGAAGGGTCTGTTTTCCTATCTATGTTTCCTACTTCTTCTCTCCATTTTTCTTGTTTATGTTTGTTTATTAGTTTGTTTATCTCATAGTTGAGTTCTGGAATCTGTGGAGATTGTGGGTTTGTTTTCCTTAGTTCATCTCTCTGAAGTATCTTGTTCTTGACTGTGGTTGGGACTTCTGGGAATATTTCTTTGATTCGTCCTTGAGGTATTGTGTTTCTGGATACTCTGTTAATGACTTCTCTAAAATCTTGTTCAGCTCTGTAGACATCTGTGGGTGGGTTGAGTTTAGAAATCTCCTCTTCTGAGGTTAGGGTGAAGTTCACCCAGTCAGCTTTTTTGAAATTTATGTAAGTTTTGTTCTCACTCATTATGAGTTTGAGTGTCGTTGTACAAGTTATAACAATGGGTAGATGGTCAGATCCTAAGCTTGGAGATGTTGTCCAGTTACAGTATGGGAGTAGAGGGGGGCCTGCAAGTGATATATCAGGAGAGGTTGGTTGTGAGTTTCTGGAGGTTCTGGTAGGCATGTCCAAGTTCAGGACACCGAAGGAGCTGGCACCAATTTCATCAGAGACCAGGGTACCTCTGGAGTCTTGGATGGGGGAGAACCATAGTGGGTCATGGGCATTAAAATCACCCATAATTATTGTACTATTGTCTAAAAAGCATGGCTAGATTTGGTGAAAACCCGATATCACAGCTGCTGGCAGGGGTAATATATATATTTACAATTTTTATATTGTCGACCTTTATGGCGAGGTATTCTGTAAATTTGTCAAGTTGGACATCTGGAAGGGGTTCAAAGGGAATAGTTTCGTGAACCAGGAAGGCTATTCCTCCACCAGTATCTCGTTCTCTGTCTTTTCTTATCAGTGTATAATTAGGAAAGTTTGGAGGCTTTGATTTGTTGGTGAGTTTGGTTTCTTGGATTGCTGCTATTTTTATGTCGTTTTCCTTTAGCCATAGGTTTCTGACAAGGAACCAAGAGATCTTTCATTAGTATTGATTTATATTAATTGCGGTACATTATTGATTTTTTTTTCAGGATATTAATAACACTTTTTTGTGGTCACCCTTTACTTTTCTTGTTTGCTGTGTCCGAATTTAATGAATTTAATCTGCGTCTCAAATCCCTCCAAAACCGGTTTTATTTGAGTGCAGGCTTAAAAATTAAATACAATTTTAAGTGGAACCAACCATGTTTGAGCCGCGGCTCAAATTCTTTAAATTCGGCCTCAGATTGATTAAAATAACAATTGCATTAATTTTTAGAGAGGGGGATAGCATATACTGCTCAACTTAAACGATCACTTCCCCCCCCCCTTGGATAAAAATTAAAATTAACATTTGTATTTTGAATCCTTGAGTTTTGTACACTATGTATTTATAAGTAAAGTTTGCAGATTACTTTTCAGGAATTATAATCATAGTGCAGACTTCAAATTCTTTTTTCTGATGTAACTTAATAAGTTGATGAAGGTTTAAGGAACAAAATTAATTTTGAGAACAAATAAGCTTATCAATTTGTCAAGACAGATTGGAAGAAAAAAATTTAATTTTGAAATTAAATGTTTGTACACAGAACTCAGAGAATTTGCTTTTAACAAATCTGTTGTATATTCTTTCTATGTTTATTCAAAACAGTGAAATAACGTAGACGTAGTTGAACCACTTTTCTTGCAAGTTAAAGTTGAAGAGAAGTGGTTCAGATCAACTACTTCTCGATATTAAGTATTCCAAGTAAGTAAACAATATACATTTATTTACATTTTTAATATTAGATTTTTTATCTAAATATCAAGCCAGAAAATAATTTTTTTGATCTCTTTAGAGGATCTGAAGACGGATTTGCTGTTGGTAGTCCCTGATCCTGATCATGAGGGGGCTGGTGTAGGTAGTGGTGGAGCTACCCTCAACGCACTCCTTGTAGTCGTAGAACATCTTTCTGCTAGGTAGTGTGACATTTTTAGATAATCCTATATGATGATGAAAATAAAGTTCAAATAAACAACAAATAACTTTGAATTTGTTTCATCAAATAACCAGAAATAACCAATAATAATCTCTTTGTTGCCTTAACTTACTTAACTTACGTCTTAACTTCCACGAAGCATTTGGAACCATTGTTGCTAAACAGATGTTTAGGCCTTTTCAGGCTGTATAGACACACCCGGCCTTCTACGCATGATAGGCATTCTTATAATTTTCCAACCCTATATAAACATTGTATTTTTCATTATACTTTATTCTGTGACTTTTGGATAAGTAAGTAAAGTTTTTTCATAGAGTCTATGAGTAGTAAAAAAGATATTAGAAATATTTGAAAATAAATACTTAGATAGAGGTCTGAATAAACTGAACTAAAGAAATTATAAAACTAAAAGTTCTGATCTAATACTTTAAAAAGTTAATATTTCTAGAATCTTTTTTAGACTCGTATTTTATATATTAGCGCAGTAGTTCATTCAGTTGGTTCGTTTTTTGCCTTTAATTTTTCAGGGTCCACAGTTCAGCAAACTATAAACAGGCAATTGTTTCTTCTCAACATCCGTCTTTCTCACACTTTTTTGACCCTGTCAGAAAATGTAGGAAAAAACGAATTTTTTACGTTTGATTAAAATCAACTTAACTGAAGACAGTTTCGAAATCTTGAAAGTTCATTAAAGCTTTTTTAAGACGAACCAAAATTTCAGAAAATGTGTTTAAGCTTTTAACAGAACTGGTTTTTAAGTATAAGTTTTAAAAGTTGAACCTTGAATATTTTCAGGAAAGGGTTTACTACACTTGATTCCGACCTGCTCAGTGATTCCAAGATACTAATCCTTCATGTTGGTCCTTCCCTTCTCCCTCTTCCCTCTGCTCTCCTATACACGGATACAGGTATTAATCCTTCTCCCTCTACTCTCTACTATACATAGATACAATCCTTCTCCCTCTTCCCTCTGCTCTCCTATACACGGATACAGGTATTAATCCTTCTCCCTCTACTCTCTACTATAAATAGATACAATCATTCTCTCTCTACCCTCTGTTCTCTTTAAACTTTTTTAATTGTTTGCTTGATTAGGATCGAATGGACTGCCTAGAACGAATATTGAACGAATTCTCTCTCTAGTAGAAGATTTGGAAGTACCCGGAGAAGGAGTTATGGTTGCAGGGACAGATATTTTTCTTCAAGGTAAACACAGTGTAGACTATGCCTCCCTTCTTAAGAAATTCCTGGACATATCCCCCTCCCCCCCCCCCTAAGACTATTTTTTATTGTTCCATTCACGAAAATGATTTTCTCATTTTTATGAAAATAACATTGTATTTAGATTTTAGATCAATATTTTATTTTAGGGGAGTTAAATGTTTCGAAAGGAATTGATTACTCCGGAGATATCTCCTTGTTTTCCGTCCCGTCTTCCCTCCACTACGCGACCCAGCACGGAGTTGCAGTCTCCGGATCAAACTCAGTTCTGCAAAATATTCTGTATCAACCTGATAAGTAAGTTCTAATGGTCTTATCTTCATTACAAGTATTTATATACCTTGTCTTTTTATTGGATTGTATATAGTCAGCCCGTTTTGTGGTATTTCTGACCTAGAAAAAATGTCAATTTTTAGTTTTTTTTCTTGAAAATCCATCAATAATAAGCAGAAAAAAGTGCGAAATGTTTATTTTTATAAACTGAAAAGAAAAAAAAACACCTTTTATCATATTTATTTACACTGTCGATGTAAATTTCCTCTATAAAATTTCGCCCGTGGCACAAATGTTTAAGGAAAGCCCCATCCCCCACAACCCCCCTTCTACACATTGTACTTTTTTCCTATTACAGAAATTAAATTTGTTTGACAAGTTTTCATGTTGATAATTTTTTAGGAATGAGATTGAGAAATTTTGTCAAGACGGAATGGTTAACATCTTAAGTGGTCTTCTTTGGTTCTCTCCCAAGGTTGCTGAGACGTTGGTTAAACTTCACTGCCTGACCCCCCTGGATGGATGTACATATATGGGTGCAGATAGCGGGGAAACTTCTCTAAAAATATCCTTGTACTATGATATTCTTACCGCCTGCTGTACACAGGTTTCCTTTGCGGATTTTCTCATCGGAAATTGCGGGAAAACTTTGTTCCGTGGCCGCCACTCCTCCCCAGCCATGGTGGCGGCTCGGAAACATGTTTGGGCAGAGATGAGAGAGTTTCGGATTGTGGAAAATGTTCTCAAGGGACTGGAGCATAAATATCTTCCTCCTTGGGAAAGTTTGGACGAATCAGAACTGATTATTCAGTGTAAATTAATTCATCCATACACATTTGGAAATACAAGTTTGGTTTTCAGATTAGGAGATTCTATAATCTTTGATTCTTCCATCAAGGATACATCCTGCAAACTTGTGATGGGATACACTGCCAATTTGAAGGAAGAGAGCAGTGTAATGTTGAATATTTGCAAAGATCCTGTGAATATTATTTACAATGTCTCTGGAACCCTGGTTTCTGTTATCTTCTCATTGACGGATAAATTTTTTGAGCCATGTAATGGTCATGGAGGTCAGCTGTTCGGGATACCATGGACTGATGCTTTAAACCAGCTTAATCTAACCCCAGAGCAAGTTTGGAATAATATTTCGGATAATTTTCGGACAATGTATACTGCTAAGCTTTATAGGGTTAACGGGGAACTCCAGAGTCTGGAGTTTATCACTTCTAACCATGATATAGGAGTTTCTTTGGCAACCAGGTCATCACTGCACCAGGAGATGGTTTGTAGGAGTTTAGAGGAGACTGGAGAACTTATCAACCCTACCAAGTATACTGATATCTTTAATCTTGCCGTGAAAGATGGTTGGAGCACTGTTTTGCTCCAGGTCTTAGATAAGATGGCACTTGCGGATTCAGCAACCAAGGACCTGGCAGAGCGAACAAGTAGGCTTGCCTTTATCTTGGCTATGACTGCCGATTTACTTGGATGCATGGCAAAGGGCGAAGGGGGGTTACGAAGCGGTCCAGCAAATAATAAGGATTTTTCTCATGGGTTTAGTTTGATGGAGAAAGGAGAATATGTAGATGGATTGATTGCTTTAACCAAGGCTAGATCTTTATGGTTGGATAGACCAGTAAGGATGGTTCGTGCTGCTCGTCATTACGAGGGCGTGGTTCAACTTCTTATCAGGAGAACAGTCATGTCTGCAGAATCCCAGATCATGGTTGATCTTAGTGCTGCAGAGGCTAGGCCGGACATGGAGAAGGAGATTAAGATTCAATGTCCTGCCAGGTTAGATCTCTCCGGAGGATGGACGGATACGCCACCAATATGCTACGAACTTGGAGGTAAGGTTGTGGATCTAGCAATAACCCTAAATGGGAAGAAGCCTATTGGTTGCCTTGTGCGGAGAATACCTGAACTACAGATAGAAATAGTCCTGGATGAAGGAGAGGTTGTGTTCATCAGATCACACTCCGATCTGGAGAATCATTGTAACCCAACCGCAAAGGGAGCCCTGGTCAAATGTTGTCTGATTTCAGCAAAACTTTTAAGTTTGGAAAGCAATGATTCAGTTCAAGTTCAGTTGAAGAATATTCTTGGCTCAGGATTAAGACTGAAACTGTGGTCTGAACTCCCCCAAGGGAGTGGTTTGGGAACATCTAGTATACTTGCTGGAGCTGTGGTAGCAGGATGTTGGACTGCAGTAGGTTGCAGGTTCTCTACTCGTGATGTTGTTCATGCTGTGCTTGTTGTTGAACAGCTGTTGACAACAGGAGGGGGATGGCAGGATCAGGTTGGAGGATTACATCCAGGCTTCAATCTAGGGACAACACCACAGGATCATAATGTTTCAGTAAGTGTCCAACCCTTTAAACCTTCTCCAGGATTTATCACTGCCCTGGAGAAGCGTCTCCTTGTCCTGTATACCGGGAAACCCCGCCTGGCAAAGAACCTGCTTCAGAACGTGATCAGAAACTGGTACAGTCGGGAACCAACGATCTATCAATGCTTTCAGGAAAATTACCGCCTGGCGGGAACCTGTTGGGAGGCGGTAACACAGGAAAATATTAACTGCCTCGGAGATTGTTTGACTGAATATTGGCGGATTAAGCGAACCCTGGCACCTGGAGCTGAACCGGAGCTTGTCAAGAATATCTTCACGGCATTGGAACCCTACTCGGTTGGAGGAACACTTGCTGGAGCAGGTGGAGGAGGGTTTCTCACAGCTATTCTTAAGGTTAGTTTAGTTTATTCTACTCATCAAAATATTTGGTAAATCTAAGAAGACAAAGTTATACACTAAAAAGAGTTTTAAAGCATTGATTTTTATTTTTCAGTAATTCCTCCACGTTTTCATTTTTGAACATATTTCTTTTTTAAGTCAATTATCAATAAATAAAAGTTTATTTTTTGAGCATTCTTTTGCTTGTCTCGAAAAGGATTCCGCGGGGCTCGGGCAGGATTCTGCTTACTACCTGGGTTCGAACTGGATATTGCTGGGCTCATGGCCGCATAGCCCCCCTCCCTCCCTCATTCTGCTGTTACATTTTTCTTGGATGTTTGCTTAGACATGTTATAAACATGTATCTACTTCTGGTTCTAGCAAATCTTTTTAGGTTTCTTTCCTTTTTTCTATCTTAATTTATCCCAGGAAGATGTGGAGAGAGATGTTGTGGTTGCTGCTATACTTGATCTTCCGGGGAGCAGCAAGATTCAATTCTTTACTCCAGCAGTAGATTTATCAGGGATGACTATAAAGTACATCTAGAACAGCCATTTTAGCGAGTTCAGCTAGTACATATAGTACGGATAGTACAGCTAGTACATCTTGTATACATCTAGTATGTACATTGTACATCTAGTAAAATCTAGTCCGGGTAGAGCAGAAAATTTACACGTTTTATGAGTTATTGTTTGTTTTTATTTTATTAGCATTTTTTACTTTTTATACAAGATTTATAATATTTGGTAGTTTTTGACACTTGCATTACGCACATGATATTTGCCTTTTTTGTTATTATATTATATATTTAACTGTTCTGTATATTCATACACAATTTTATGTTTTCATATGCATTTATATATGTATATGCAGATGATATTTTGTTGGGAATACTTTAGTGTGATAAAATATTGTGATATGTGTAACTAACAGAGATAAAATTGCATTTATATTTGATTTTGTTTTTACAGAAATATGGCGTTAAAAGAAAAATTTGAATTGAAATGGGATAATTTCCATCAGACAATTTCATCTTCACTACAGGTTTTTTTATAATTTTTTACTCATTGAAATAATTATGATAACGATCAACTATCATTCCGTATATATATATATA